TTGGCAGGGCATAACAAATATCCTCCAAACTCAAAAGGATTCAACATTTGCTTAAATAAATCTCTATCCAGTTCAATTGCAACAGATATTATTTTCATTGCTGCAACCATCTGAATTCCTCTAATTTGTTGCCACATTTTAGGATTCATAACAAATACTTCACCTATCAAAAGAAACATAATAACGAAAAATGTAACAGGAAGACCTCTCCATCTTTTTGTTATGATTGATATAAAAATTATTAAAACATAAGCACCAATTGTAAGTCCTAATGTCCACACAATTGCTGACCCGATATTGTAATATAAAAGAAAACTTCCAATGAAAAACGATAAAGCGTGCCTAATATTATGTGGTAAATCTATACTTTGAATAATAAAACGCAAAGTCAGATTGGCTATTATCAAATCTCTAGCAAATCGAAGACCTTCATACAATGTTGGTTCAACACATAATGTAATATAAGTCCATGTATTTTCAACGTACTCATCTTCATCCATATTAAATTCAGGAAATGTGCCACAGCATTTATAAATACCTTCACTCTTCTCGTTTCTACCGCACAATTTCTATATGTAAGAAAATATTCTACGTTCACTTGAATGTTCTATGCCTTTCACACCATTTTGTTATTAATTCGAATTATATATATATGTATATATACAATCATAGTTTGTAAAATATTGCAGGAATTCTCATTTTTCATTTTTATTTTCCACCAGGAAGATTATTCTTCTACGAGCATCTTACATCTTTCTTTGAATCTATGAATATGAAACATAGATTAATAACATTAATTAACTGTATGTTCTTGTTGTTAATTATTTGTTACACACAGTCACAGTTCACACAGTTTTTTTTGGTTGAAAATTGTAATTAATGAAATCCGTCCAATACAAGTAAATAAATACGAGCCTAAATAATACAGTAAAAGTATACACTATACAAAACAAAAACGATTACGAGTAATTAAGCATGGGCAAAAAATATCGATATTGTCCCGTACAATTATCGATATATATCGTCGATATTTTTTATCACGAAACTTTTCTTAAACTTTTCAAACTTTTCTTTTTCCGACAAAATTATTTTGACCCAAAATTTTAGCTCTATCATACCAGGAATTAACGTAGTCCGTTCAGATTCACTTTACTTCTTAGGTGCTCTTTTGTTAATTCCATGTTGGGAACCTAAAGGGAAAATTGAAAGATAAATAAATTTTTAGATCATGTTAACAAATTGTTTTTACTAAATTCGCATATTGTGCTTACTATTTTGCGACATTGTATTCTTGTACTTACGTACCTCCTTCGCTCGAGTCCAGTTTGGAAATGCGGTGTCTTTTTGAAAGAAATTGATTTTCATCTTAAATCAGCTCTAGAAAAAAAATTCTTAATGAATTAAGCTGGAGTCAAGCTACGCTGCCAATTCTTTTTGATGGTATCGATGTAAGGAAAATTTCTAGTGTCGCTCTACCTGCCTTCCTTGCTTCCGTGCAACTAAAATAATTTATGTAATAATATCCTTAATCACAATTCAGAACTTTCCTATGCCGAGGAGGCAAGGATGTCTTGGCTGTCTATTTGCTCCAACAAAAATAGAAATAAAATAGAGAAATTACTTTAGAAAGTAATTTCGAGCGTAAACGGGCACGCTCTAAATTACTTTCGAACGAGCCTAGGCGTCTGATCTAAAGAATCGAGTTATTGGATTCACGCTTTACCATCAAGTAAATTGGGCACATTATTTGACGATGTAAGCTTACGCATTGCTGTAGAAATCCGTAATAGATTTGTGCAACTCGATCTCCAACAAAACGTATCATCTACGACAAATTACAGATAGTAAAGACAATAGGATAATCCTATTGTTTTTACTATCTTTAATGAATTCAATTTTAAAATTCAAGAGTTGTGCGTGAAGTCCGTAAACGAAGAAGATACGTTCTTATTCGTATCAACTATCAACGTAAACGTAGTGATTACTGGTAACTGGTTAACTCTTTGGATTTAAGTAATACTACGGTACGGGATTCCGCTTCGTGCTCTCGTACGGAACGGACCTCTCTAAGACGGAGGGCTAATGCCACCCGAATTAGACGCTACTCGCAACTTCGGTTGCATCTTTGTGCAAGCAGTGCAGTAGTTTAGTGTTAGTGTTGTGCTCGTAGGCAGGTTCCTGTTCTGTTAGTTGAATTCTATACACACTTCTCGCCTCAGAGGCGGCATTGTTTTTATTTAATAACGTGTGTGCTTGTTGCGATAGGCGATAGCTAGGTACCCACCCTAGCGCACCTAAAGCGCAAGCGGATTAGTTGTTAGTTTTAGGCACATACCTCCCTGCCACAAGGCGGGGAGGCCTATTTAGTAACTTACACGCTGGCGGGGCGCAAGCCCCATAGGTTCAAGCGCTCGAAATGGGTTCCCTCCTAGAGGAATGCCTTCGCCAACGATGTCCCGAAGTGTGGACAAACTTTCTCGCGTTCGCGAAAGAAAAATGTTTAGTCGTCGAGTTCGCCAGCGACAGCCCGGCTTCACCGGCAGTCACCTGGCCGTCATCTCCGGCGCCCTCAGCGCCCGCTAATGCATCGCCTTCAGCGACACAAGAAATGCCCGTCGCGTCGACCTCCGCCGCCGCGATCGTACCCATCGCGCCTTCCGCGCATCCCATCTCGGCCCCCTTCCGCGTCGTCGTTCCCGACTCACAATCGGACGACGGATCGGACATGGAGGTCGAAACGACCCTCGCTGAAAATGCGAACGTCGACGGCTTCACCCTCGTAAAGTCGCGTAAGAAGGGCAAAAAACGCCCCGCTGCCGACAGCGACCCCGAATGCCAGGCAGCCTCGTCCAACCGTCTCACCGCGACGCCCGCCAAAAAGGCAGCCGCGACTGCCCAAACGGAACCTGAATTCGCCGCCGAGCGAAAAATTAAGCCACCGCCTCCTATTATAATTCAAGAAAAGAAAGTGGCATCAAGTATGCTCGTGGTTTGAACGCCACAACATCCGCGACCCACGGTCGAAAAATACACAAATGGGTATCCGCGTATACCTTGACACAACGGACGATTTCCGCCGCGTAGCGAAATACTTGCGCGAAAATAAGATTTAAGAGAAAATTAGATTTCACACCTACTCTTTGCCCGAAGAACGCAAGCTTCGTGTAGTTATCAAGGGCGTCCCCAAAGAGTCGGATGTCGACAAGGCGAAAACCGACATCCGCACTCAGGGATACCCTGTGCATGCCGTCCGACGCCTCAGACACCCCAGAACCCGTGTCCCTATGGACATGGTGTTGGTTGAACTTGCCCCTACCCCGGAAGGTAAGGCCATCTTCAACCTGAAGAGGGTCTGTGGGCTCAGCGACCTCGTGATCGAGCCCCCGCGGAGATCGGGAGTTGTGGCGCAGTGCCACAACTGCCAACGCTATAGCCACACGGCTAATAATTGTTTCGCTCACCCTAGGTGCGTCAAATGCACCGGTGACCACGACACGCCCGATTGTACGCGGCCAAAAGATTGCGCAGGTCCACCGGACTGCGATAATTGTCATATCACCGGCCACCCGGCTAGCTACAGGGGCTGCGCTAAGGCCCCAAAAACTGCTGCGAGAAAAGCTCCCGCGAAATCTACTTTGCCCAAACCCGGGGCGGTTCTCACCGCCCCCAGCCACCGATTAGCTAATTGCACAGTCGACGGCCATCGGGGTTTCGGTCCGAACCACGACCTCGATGGCCCTTAGATGACGTACCATAGTTAAACGCACGCATGAGCACATGCGTGGCCCTACCCACAGCGGAGGGCCCAAACCCGTGGGTTCTGGCTAGCCCACCGGTTCTGCGTCAGATAAAGCTTTAATAGTCTCGGGACTGAAAGCAAAAACATCAGTTAATACAAGAATACAAGACTATGGTAAGGCAGGGTAGGATTTTGTACTATAATAATAGTATTTGTACTATAATTTCAAGCTTCGTACACTATCCACAGCGGATGGTACGAAAACGTACTATAATTTTAAAATTTTTATTGTGCTTATCTCTGCACTGAAGATTAAACATTATAAATTGTAGAAAAAGTACGAAAAGATTGTCGCCCTTTTGGGAATCGAACTAACCAACGCTAATGTGCGGTGTCCGCGAATGCCGAAGACATGAGTTTGATTCCCACAGCTGCGATCATACTTTTTCTACAAATCTTTTCGTAATTTTTCTACAAATTTTAACGTAGTATAATGTCATTACTTTACTTAAATGACCAATATTATACCATTCACCAGTACAAAGTTTTTTTACTACTCGTCTATATCATTTTCTATTAATACATTATTCAAAATTGTCATCAATGAATAATAACGGGGACCTACCGTGAACAAGGTCCCCGTTAGGACCTACTTTTTTTTTCGATACTCCGCTTTCTCAAACAGTCACTTTGAGACACTTTGCGTAGTGCACTCAATTTATTAAGTAATAGATTTAATAGGTGTCTATTAGTACGATTAATTTATTATTTTTATAGTACGGTCGTTCCATTCTGTTTCAGAATTCAAACTGATTACAATATTCTGCGAGTATTTAAGTAAAATAATTTATTTTTTGTGCATTACTTATGAAAATAATAGTTCACTATTTTTTGTCAAATACTATCCTTTTAGATTTTATGTACTGTCTTTTAAATCTAGCCCTGCGGTACGGAGAGGAGAGTGAAAGTCTATGGCCTCTATGGTTTTGTAATTTGTTCAACTTCATAGATGTAGTAAAATAGCGTTTGCCTAACTATCGCCATAAAATGGATAATAATTATCGTTAGTTAAAAGTATTTAAAACTTTAATTAAGTGGAAGTGATTGATTGGTTTACAATCTGAAACTTGCACTGCTACTTTTTGCAAATAGCAATTGATTTTGACTTATAGAAATTATTGCATTCCGCCATAGCATATTCAGTGATTACTTTTAGCAAATGTAAATTATAGAAGTAACTTCTGTAATTATTGAAAATTAAATGATGGCTAGTCCATCTCCACAAAGCAGTCCAATGCCACCGCCGCAGGCACCAAGTCCTATGGGTCCACCAACTCAAAGCCCTGCTCCACCGCAGTCTCCACATAGTCCCTACAACCAGCAACATGTTAATGGACCACCACCGTCTCATTCTTCGGGACCGGGACAGCCGCAATTATCTAACCACATGCAATCAAGTGTTCCTCCTCACACAATTGCTTCTAATGCTAATGGTCCTCCAAGTGTGCCACAACCGCATCCGGGCATGTCTCCAGGCGGGCATCAATTACCGCCACATATGGTTGGACAACATATACCTGGTCCGCCAGGTCATCCAGCGTCACATCCGCCTGGACCAAATGGTCATTCAAACTTATCAGCTTCATCTCAACATCCTAGCATGCCAGGACAAGGACCACCGCATGGCTATATGCAGCACCAGATTGGGCATATGCCTCCAACCCAGGTTAGTTGATATTACAGCATATCTGTTTAGTTTTCATTTCAAAGATTATGGAGTGATAAAAGGAAATAAATAATCAATCACTGAACAAAAGTTTAATATTCACCCAAAATGGTGATAAATAAAATGCAATACATGACTGAAATTTAAGGGTGTGTGAGGGAAACAATATTTAAATATTAAAATATTGGTTGCTATCACCAAAAAAAAATAATGGTAAAAAGTCATAAAAATTTGATTGCTAAAAGTCATGAAAATGGATGTAATTGTCTTCAGTAATGGTTATTTATGGTAAGGATTTGCAAGTTATTTTGATAGACCAAAACATTGATATTGAGAAAGATATTCTCATCTCAAAGTGAAGAGTTTTTAAAAATCATGTTTCATCACCATTCACCATCATTGTCACTATTTAAGTACTATAAATTATTCAAGTATGTTTCAATACCTTAGAAAAATGAAATATTTCCATAACTTTACTTCATACATCATTATGTATCCAAAATTTTATTAACTAATAAAGTATCCAGCAACAAAATGTGTTATAAAAACAAAGTGTTGATATAATTACAGCACTTAAAAAATGTATTTTTATTTTGCACACTTTACTAAACAAAGGTTCATAAATGTCTTTAGCCATTAATAATGTTTCATTTAAAATAGTTTCTAATTGTTGAGTTAGTGGTTCCACATCATCATATTTAGGAACAATGTTGTCTTTATTTGTCATGTAAACTGTAAAAACTACTGGTGTGTTCAACATCTTTTTTACCCAGTCAGCAACATTGCCAGAAGAATTATCTGTAATAGATTTCTGTGCACTTTAATAAATTCTTAGAAGTAAATTAATCTTTGATATCCAAAAATTTAATATTTGCTATTGTAATATGAATGTTCATTGTTGTAATAAGTACACAAGCACTAAAAACAAGAAACTAAAATAAGTACAATGATATGAAAATAAGTATATACCATTGGGGAACTTATTTTTGTATTTTAATGCATTATTTATAACTTTATGCAACTTACAAATGTATTTTGCAGTTTTTCCAACATAATATGTTACATTGTACCTCTCATTTAGTTTCACAGTTGCCATTGTTATAAGTTCCATCTGTTGAAATTTATTTGTATTTATAATTAGTAAATTCTTTTTCTGTGATATAATATTACTTAAAAAAGTAGCCATAGATAAATAACTAAAATAATCATGTATGTTTTACTATAAAATGTAATATTTATCACCAAAATGTTAGAAGTATAATGTGTATTTCCAGTAAAAATTATAGTGTAGTAATAATTTTAGACTGAATTGATTGATGAATTGACTTCCAACTTTTTTATTTGTAGTCAGTGTTTTTTGATTATGCAAAAGTCACATTTTAATTAAACAATGTTAAAATATTCCACAGGACTAATTGAAATTAGCTTACCAGAACATCATGATTAATGGACATATCTTCGTTGCCGTATGGAATTGTTATCAAACTGTTAAATCCTTTTAAGTTGATAAATGCTACCAAACTTAAAGCTAAATTGTTCAAAGCATAAGAAAGAGCCTGTGTCTCTTCCTCAGATAATGGTCCATGTCCAATGTAGACTGCATTGCATTCCTGATCTAATACTGGAAAGGACAATGACCACTTCTATAATGGGGCTTGCCCTGACCATGTCCAAAACTAGATATTTAATATTTTAGGAAGTTATGATGTAGATCTAGAATTTATTTATATTTATTTTGTATATTTAACAAAAAACAATGTTTTCCTTTCGCTATCCTCATATTTCATGTTTGTCTATATGTGCCTGACATAAATATTAACTTTTATGTATATATATATATGCAGTTACAAATAAATAAACTCTATAAAAGCAAAAGTTTGTACACATATGACACTTAATTTATTTAAATAAAATATTTATTTTTATTCAATTATAAATTGCAAAATAATATAATGGCTAAACTCAGTGAAAAAGTGGAATAAAGGTCCTCCGATATGTCCGAAACTAGTTTGTGTATTATTACTATTTTATTTGATTGTAGCGATTTTATTATTCCATAAACAGCAGTTTACTGACAACTTACAGTAAATTTAAAAATTACATTTTTAGTTTGGTTTGGTTTTGCTTATCATCATTTTTCGGTATAATATGCCTCTTCTTATGGTAGAAATATAAAAAAATTCAGCTTTCTTACAGTGATATATGTTCTTCATTAGTATTCACTACTTATGTAATATAGAATATTTTTTCAAGACCGTATATTATACAAGTTAATATAATTGGTAAGCAACTTTATTGCAGAACTAGACATATTATAGAGAACTATTTACCATTGTCAGATGACCTTATAAAATGCCAATTTCGATTCAAGTTAACACCTTCAGCTGTATAGTTATCTAAACACATTATTTGTGGTATAAACTTTTTCCTATTTTTAGCCCAAAATCTATCCTATAAGAGAAATGTCGTTAAAAAATCTGTCCACATTTTAGTACATTGAATCATATTAATTAGCTTACCCTTGTTTGGCTGTAAATATATCCATCAGGATTCATAAAAGGGAGAAAGTAAAAATTATAATAATCTGTCAACAATTCTGGACCCCTTTTTTCTAGTAATGTTTTTACTAAATTCAAAATTATTGCAGGTGTCAACCAGTCCATTCCACTTTCACCTCCCATTATAAAAACCGCAATTTTCTTTTTTCCAGTAGATAATTTTAAAATAAACAAATCTCTGTTTTCAAATGTTTTTGCTATTACTATTTTTTTTAATGATGTATACTCTTTTACATATTTGCCAACCCATTTATTTATTGTATTCCAATCATAAAATCCATTATTGTTAATAGACACAGTAGTTGAATATTCATGATTAATAGTTTCTCTGTTGAAGCACAAATAATCTGTACATATATATATATACATTAAAATTTACCTTTTTCACACTTATTTAGAAACTTACAATAAATCTCTCGAGACATAACCAAACTGTATGTTATTTGCATATAGTTTCTCTTCAAATGCTTGTCTGTAGCAGTTTTTTACTATAACATTCATAGGTACAATTGCTTCATTTGTAACTTCACTTGTAAAATAGACATCCCTATTTTTCAAATGAATATTATAAAGTATTGATCTTTCTATTGGATTAAATGCAGTCACTTTATACATTGTGTAATTAGCAACTGTCAATGTTGAAATGGAAAATGTTAATATAAAAAGCAATAACATCTGCATAATCTTCAATGAATTTTATAATAGCTGAACTTTTATAATATTTCGTCTGTTTTTCATAAATCACTATGGCTATGCACTCTTATAACAAGCCACTGAGTGCATAATATCGTTTTATTGACTCGCACAGTACCCCATTGTTTATTTTATTTTTTATGTGAAAAGTAGGCAAGCCATTCAGTAGTAGTCAGTGTCTGGGTCCTGGGTGTTCACTTATAATTCAATATACTTGAGTAGCCCGAGCTCAATTCCTGGTGTCAGCACTAATGAAATTGTGATTTACAATTTTAGGTGCTTACTTTATCACTTGCTTAGCGGTGTAGGAAAACGACACTTACGAAATTTGCATATTTTTTCAGTAGGTTCGCGTGGCTAAGAGCCTCTATACAGATCAGGCCTTTGTCCAGCAGTGGGATGTATTTAGGCTCCCTTTTTAAGCGATTACAGCTGCAGATGGACAGTTTGAACACTTGATGGATTACAGATTCTGCACCAACCAGAAAAAAAAGTGGGTCCAGTTATTTCATTCACAGACCAAATGCGAAATACAGGGTGACTGGTAAGACACTAACGATACTTAAGGAAAGCAATGTGTACTCGATTCTCGTTTGAATAATGTAATAAAATTGGTTAAAATTTTTCACCAAACTTCCTTAAAAATTCATGAATTGTGGATACATTCCCGACGCTGATAACGCTGACTCGGCGGCAACCGCTACCTTTTGCACCGCCGACGCCAACCGTACTGAGAACTCGTTGGTTTATGCGCAAGCGCTGACAATATAAAATTGTATAGGGTTGTAAAAAGAGATTCCATTTTTTAAAAGCAAAAAGTAAAGTAACAGCTTATAAATGTTCCACAGCTGGGCAAAAACCACCTGTGTAAAGAGGGTATCAGCGACCCCACTGTGGAAGTATTTTTATTATTATTATTTTTATTTTTTTTCGAAGTATTTTGCTTTTATTTATTATTTCGAAAATATGCACAGCCGAGCACGTGATATATCAGCACTTAAAATTACAATTTCATTGGTGCCGGTACTGGAAATCGAACTCAGATTGCTCGAGTAAATGTAATTAAAGGCGAGACCCAGACACTGAGCTATCGCGGCCCTCCATTTTTAATAGCAATGTACACATTATTTAAGTCAACAAATTAGTGAAATAAATACACAGGTATTTTTGTCTGTCCTAAGCCCGGATTGTAAAAAGTGAAATTGAATTCATGAGCATTGCTTTTAACCAAAGATTGTAGTTGCATTAAGAATAAAATTACGTTAATCAAAAACTTCAATAATGTTAACATTGATTATAATTATTTGTGGTATATGAACGTTTTTTTGTGTATACGTTTTTTTGTGTTAATTTGTGGTATACGTTTAAAAATAAACGAGATAAAAAATAAAAACACGTAACGAAGAAATAGGTCAATAAAAACGAAATTTATATAATAAATGAAGTTCAAGGACCTTCAGCCGTCCGGCGCGGTACTAAAATTTCTTTTCTTCTTTCGCCGGCTTAGGTTAGAACTAAGCAGCAATCGAGCGTATGGGTTTTTCAAGATGAGCCGAAACCAACCAAAGCGGCGCGCTAGAAAAGTTCATCTAAGGGGTTGATTGCCTGTTTTTTTTAATAATACTGGACACCTGGCTGTTGCTTTAGAATCGTCGTACCTTGAATAGTAACGTACACGACCATTTGTTTGCCGGATGTTATTGCCGAATATTCTCGAATGTTCCCAAAAATCAAAAACTAATTACGCGATCAACGATTTTCATAACCATAAGAGGCTGTCGAAGAGTATGAAAACCTCGTTTGAGGTCACAGCGGAGCAGTGGCGCCAATGTTTTCAAATTTCCTTTAGTATGAAGGAAAAACAGATCATGTTTCTTAGTTGTAGCCGTAGCCTGCTACTAACGGGGTTACTTGACGTAACAATAGCTCTATCATTGATAAGTAAATGTGCAAACCTATCCTCTGTTAATGCGCAGCACGTGCGTCCGCACAAGGTGTCCACACGTTGCGTAATTAATTATTTATAACTTTCAGTTCAGGTTACTAAGGAGCCTATATTTTTTTTTCTTCATATATGATCGCCAAATATCACGTCCTCGAATATCGTTAGTGTATGTCCCACCAGTCACCCAGTATAATACTTCCACTTCATGCTTGACATTGTGTAGCAGTGGTACTTTGCCGAACGAGCTTGCCGATTGAACAAATGAAGCTCTTACGTGGCCCTACCACAGTTTAGTGATTTTTATCTCGGATCTGCTCTGCCATGTAACAATGTTCTTATTGCAGTATTTGTATTTTCCGTCGCAGGGACCGATGACTATGGGCGGGGGGCCGCCTCCAGGTAACGGGATGCAAGGTCCGCCCGGGGTGCCGTTGCCACTCGGCGGGCCTCCGCCCCACGGGGTTCATCCATCTGGTCTGCCAACAATCCCGCCACACCATGGAATGCTGCAATCGGCCGGCGGATACGCGCACTCGCCATCACCAGGCTCGACCGCCTCGTCAGCCCCGCCCGCATCGCAGCCACCTGCCGGCGCTCCATCTCAGCACCCGCCCTCAGCTCAGACCCCGCCTCACGGCCAGGCCCCGCCAAGCCAGGCCGCCTCCTCGTCCGCCAACGGCGCCCCGCCCTCCTCCTCGCCCATGCAAGGCTCCCTGCCCGGCCCCGGGCCAGACAATCTGCACGCCCTCCAGAAGGCCATCGACTCAATGGAGGAAAAGGGCTTACAAGAGGACCCCCGCTATTCGCAACTCCTGGCGATACGCGCCCGCTCGAACCCACAGGACCCCAGCAAAGGGCTGTTCTCGAACACTCAGCTAAGTCAACTGAAGTGAGTTATTTTTTATGTCTAAATGCTTGGTTCGTATTACAAATTATAAAAATTTCCAACAATCCGACTATATATTAAATTGTATATTTGGAAAGGCCAATTTCTTTTTAGACTTTTTCAAAATACGGCGTTTTTGTTGCCATACTGAATTTTGCTTACTGGCGTGTTAATAATCAAGATAAAGACAATGAAAAGAATCAAAGAAGAATCATCAAAATCCACCTACGCAATACGCATCTAGTGTCTAAACGGTAAAAAAGAAAAAAAAAACATTATGGGTGATTAAAACATGACCTTCCTGCGCTTTTCGCAGTCGGATAAAATGCAAGATTTATGTAATTATTTTTTTCAATAATCTAGGAGAATTTAGAATCAAACCATGAAATAATCTTATGCTGAAAGCTGAGAAGAAGCTGCACTGCTCATGAAGCAATAGTGCTCATCGGAAAGTAATTAGTATTTGTGAAGGTAATGCAATAAGCCAGCTAGCACAAAGCCAGCATTAATATCATTAGATGTTAATACCTTAGTTTCTAATGGACTAAAAATTGTTGGTGCAATCCTACATATTTATTTTCTTGTTTAAATACTTTGTACTGAATACATAAAAATGTTTAATGTATGATTTTTGTTTAGAAAGAATAACATTTTAGTTTGAGTGCTGAGGTATTAAGCATAAATAAAAACATACGACCAAATTGTAGCATTACTAAAATATTCGCGTAAATTAAAGAAGTTATCAGTGTATATTATTTTTAAGTAAGCATGTGAACGAAGGATTCGAGTGAGTAAAAAAACAGTGTTTCAAAGGTTGGAATCGAATCTGCAACCCAATTGGTAATTTGGATGCTGTGATCACTTAACACCGGTTGAATTACTTACCCGCATCATACCTTCGTTGACATAGTTCATGCAATACCTAAGCCCTCAACGAGACGCCACCCCACCGTGAACTTGGAAGCTACGTGTGGTACTATCCCGGGCGAAGCCGTCTATTCGTTTAACAGCAGAGTTGCGTGGCTATAGCGATGGTGAAATTTAGATCTTAACTAAACGTTCGCAGGGCGCAGATAGCCGCGTACCGCAACCTGGCGCGCAACCAGCCGATCACGCAGCAGATCGCGCTGATGGCGGCGGGGAAGCGCGCCGGCGAGCCGCCGCCCGAGTGCCCCACCCCGCCCGCGCAGCCCCCCTCGCCCTACGGCCAGGCGCAGCCGCAGGGCGCCGCGAAGGCGGGCGGCGGAGGCGGCGCGCCCCCCACGCCGCTGCCCATGACCGGACAAATGGCCCCGCCCACGCAGCCCACGCCGCCCCTCGTCAATCCGGTGAGATTGTTTTTTTAGAATTTTTGAGTTAAAAGAAGCACCACCTTCTTTAGGCGCGTTTGGAAGTAATTATGGTAGTGAACATTTTAACGATGCGCGCGCACACCGACCGCCGTAAAGCGGCATGATGAAGTTGGTTGCAAAGCGGCCGGCTTCACGGTGTTGCCTTGGCTCCAATAAGAACTTTTTAAATAAATGTCAACTCTACTTCCATGTTATTTAATCAAACCGTTATCAATTGCGTTTGATGTCTTTTTGAACTTACATGCGTACATAAGACCACACATAGTTTTTTATGTAAGTAGATGGCAAGCGAGCTGGCGTAACGTTAAGTGTTCACGTAATGTTAAGCGATGAACGCTGCCAATGAACATTTGGAACACCATAGGAACCGGAGCCAACTTTATTAAGAGGGGCAATGCATCTGCAACCCTACGGGTGTTGTAAATGTCATGACGGTGGTTATCACTTAACATCAGGTGAACCGCCAGCTCGTTTGCCACCTTGTCAAGTTAAAAAATGTACCATGGCCCTATAAAGAACTTACGCATAAAGCGAAATATCCCTATAATTTGTTATGTACATCTAACTGTGTATATTCATACTTCCCCGGCTTTTTAAGCGTTTTAAGATAAAAATTAATTTATTCAGCCGGTTGGCGGAGGCCCTCCTGTACGCGGGGCTGCACCTTTGCGTCCTCAAGGTCCCCCGCCGCCTGGACAGCCAGCCCAGCAGCAGGTATTCGATAAGTTATAAAATATCAATATAAAAGATATTTCACATACATGAGATCAGGAAAAAGAGAATATTCATACAAATTTGTTTGTTTATTTTTTTTTTATGTACAAAAAAAAAGTGTGTGCGGGTAACCTTTACGCGCGATTGAAGTAAAACTTCTTTGGCGTTGACGGCATATATCACTGAAATGATTAAATATTTAGTAACGTCATAAGTATATGTCATATTTTAAAAATATGACATATACTTATGACGTTACTTCCGTCAGAAAAAGCGTTACTTCCGTCATAAAAAATCTGAGTTACTCCCTAGTCGCGCCTAAAGAAGTTTTACTTCAAAAATATATGGCGGACTTAATGCCATCGACATAATCTACCAGTAATCTACCTTGATAACAGTTATATTATAAACAGATCCAATGTTCAGTTGCTCAGTGAAAGAAAACACAACAAAAACACTTAATATTAGGAGGCTTTCCTTACTAATACTAAAATCCATAATTCACATTACATAGTCAGATGAAAATACTTTTTTCTTTTAGCCCGGCATACCTACACCAGGAGCTAAGCAGAACCGCATCACGAGCATTCCTAAACCGGTGGGCATTGACCCAATCCAAGTGCTGAATGAGAGAGAAAATAGGTAATTTTATTCTCGGTTGAATTAATAAAATGAAATCGAGACCGAAGCACACCACCACTGCTACTAGCCCTTAATTTAGTGAACACCTACTGCATTGACCTAAACAAAATAAAGATCCCTGAGAGGTAATCAAAGAGTTTGTATTCTTTTACACTTGAATCTGGTGCATGGCTTGGGATTGACATATCTTAGAGACTTAATTAGATTGATGAATATTTATGGAGTACAAGATTTCGTAAAAAAAATATATATATATATACAAAGAGAAGTGGCTGTAGGACTTCAATAAAATAAAACATTTGATCAAAGTCCTAATTTTAAGCTGGAGCTTTGTATACGCGCAGGATCGCGGCGCGCATTGCTCATCGCATGGAGGTGCTATCGAACTTGCCGGCAAACATGTCGGACGACTTACGTCTGCAGGCGCAGATCGAGCTGCGCGCTCTTCGGGTCCTCAACTTCCAGAAACAGCTGCGCGCTGAGGTGACACCCCTACTTACATTCTCATAGACGCGTATGCCGATATTCAATGAAATGTAAAGAGATATAGATGAACTTCTGAGTCCCCCTTAAAATAGATATTTAACTTTGCCTATTTTCAGATTCTCAGTCAAGTGCGTCGCGACACTACTCTCGAGACAGCTGTCAATATAAAGGCTTACAAACGCACAAAGCGACAGGGCCTACGAGAAGCGCGCGCTACGGAGAAACTGGAGAAACAGCAGAAGCTGGAGGCGGAGAGGAAACGCCGACAGAAACATCAGGAGTTCCTGCAGACGGTTCTCCAACATGGTACAGCTTGTTGAAATGATAGGGATTAGTCTATTTTACTCTTTTAGGTGGAGTGTAGAGATGAAAAGTTAATATTAGCTCGCCTGCACATGACTTTCTTTTTTACCTGCTTTGTATGAACATCTTAAATGCTTTTTTCCTACATCCACATTGAGGTAATTGGAAGCAAATCTTTTTTAATTTCATTGAAACAGCAATACCTAATTGTGGAATAAAATATTGCTAGTATTATTGTTGCATTAACAGCAACGTACATAAAAACATATATACATAAAAAGATTTTTTGCACCCTTTCACTAATCACGAATATAAGTCGTCATCATCAAAACATACTAAAATAAAAAATTGTCATTGTATGTACAGATTTCTACAGGGTAATAATTTAATTTGTAGCCAAGGACTTTAAGGAGTACCATCGCAACAACGTCGCTAAGCTATCGCGCATGAACAAGGCGATCATGAACTACCACGCGAACGCTGAGCGTGAGCAGAAGAAAGAACAGGAGCGAATTGAGAAGGAGCGTATGAGACGGTGAGGTTTTTAATCATTCTTTTTTGATCTTTTTGTTTTTTTTTTATTTTTTTGTTATTTAATTGTTCTTTTTATGTCATCTTATTTTTGTATTAGTTTAGTTCATAACCGGGTCAGGTTTTTGAATGAAGTCTGATAAAAGTAACAGTTTTTGAAACTACATTTAACTTTTACTGACTTCAATCTAATTCACTTTCTTTTTATAATAGTAAAGTCACAACTCAAAATTTGGAAAGAATAAATTATGCGTAAATAATCTGTTATGTTAACATCTTATCTTTACAGCAAAATCTTTCACAGTTCTAGCATCTCAAGTAACTCCACAATACTAATTGGTCTTTGTCATTTAATAGTTTGATGGCAGAGGATGAAGAGGGTTACCGTAAACTTATCGATCAAAAGAAAGACAAACGTCTCGCATTTCTGCTGTCGCAGACCGATGAGTACATCGCAAGCCTTACCGAGATGGTCAAGCAGCATAAGCAAGAACAACGAAAGAAGCAACAAGAGGAAGAAAGAAGGAAGAGGGTAAAATTTACTTTTTATTCTATGCTATTTCTATTCCAATGATTAAAAGATATTTTATGGTTAAGTAACAATTTATCACACCGCGGCTCAGTTGCAAGGTATTGGCTTCGGCGACAACGATCTTGGGTTTTTGTATGACCCACAGAAAATTGTTTCGGATCTGCGTTTTTCCACGTGAAATTTATGTCTGTAGAATGATATACATTACAACATACACAGGTAATGTTATCCTACAGTAAGGGCAATTGTTTTAAATGAAGAAAGAAAATATAATATTAGCATATTTTAGCAACTCTGACACTTAATCTGCATAATTATTATTGTATACTATTAAAGAACTTATGTACGACTTTATAACCAATAGAAATCGAGGAAGAAGAAGTTGCTTGAGGGCGGCGAAATCGATGCTATGGACGATAGTTCGCAAACATCAGATCAACGGGTCAGCGTAGTGGATCCCAAAACTGGCGAGGTATTTACTACTTGCATATCATACACTGCTTATCATTGATCTCTAATGATTCATATGTAATGTTTTTCTGTTTCAAATGTTTGCCTAGCTTTAATATTTGCATATTACTAGGTGCTTAGAGGGGAGGAAGCACCGCTACTGTCCCAGCTCAAGGACTGGATGGAGGCCCACCCCGGCTGGGAGGTCATGTCTGATTCTGATGACTCTGGCGATGACAGCCATGATGACGACGGTCTGTTTTTTAATCTTGCTGAATATATACAGAAACAATGTAGATTTTTATATTGATATGATTTGTATCTCATTGTCATCACACTCGACGACCCGAATGTTGTAATGGGTAGTGTACCTGCCTACTGCGCCAGAGGGTTTGGGTTTGATCCCACTCTACTGTAAAAATATTGTGTGATGAACATAGTATTTTTCTAGTGTCTTGTTAATATATGAATAATATGTATTTATTTTACAATAGAGAAAAGTATGTTTATCATTATCTAGTACCCATAGTACAAACATTGCTTAGTTTGGGACTTGAGAATGTTGTGTAAAAATATGTCCTAAATATTTTTTTTTTATACTCTGAAAACAGTTGCTGGTTAAGTCAATAGTTTTAAATATAGGGTGTTTGTAGTGTGTCTTTTTTGTTTAGTTATAATGTGGCATAGACTCAATAAATTTTCCAACTATAACTCGCCAACTGCTCAGTGTCCCGGCGCACGCTTTTAATTGATTATCGTCACATAATTTATTTTTATAAATATAGAAAGGAGAGCTCGAAAAGATAAACATCACGAGAAGAGCGATAAGGAGAAGACAGATGAAGAGAGAGCACGTGACATGATCAAGAAAGCGAAGGTAGAAGACGATGAATATAAAACTGAAGAACAGACTTATTACAGGTATAAGAATACTTAAATTCTACTATGAATGAGTTTATATTTTTTTTATTATAAATTTTATATTCCTAATATTACTTACTTTTTAGCATTGCTCACACGGTCCATGAATCTGTCACTGAACAAGCCAGTATTTTGGTTAATGGAAAATTGAAGGAATATCAGATCAAGGTGAATAATTTTCTTTCATACCTTTAATAAAATTTTTCATCTAAATTTAACTTAAATTTTTAATAATTTCTATTTAAATATTATCGATCACATGGTGGGGCAGTTGCTGATCTAATGGCCTCGGCGTCGAGGGTTCTATTTCCATAAGTGTATTATTTTTTTTTATTAAGAATTTCGAAGGGAATTTAAATATGTGTGTATTTAAAGTGATTATTTTCTTACAAGGGATTGGAATGGTTGGTGTCCCTTTTCAACAACAATTTGAATGGTATACTGGCGGATGAGATGGGTCTCGGAAAAACAATCCAGACAATCGCTTTGGTCACATACCTGATGGAGAAGAAGAAAGTTAATGGACCGTTCCTTATAATTGTACCACTGAGGTAATTGGGATGGACAGCTACCATGATTTCAATCACTTGATCATTACCATTGAATTTGTTAAAAGACTGATGGCTCTATTTAAATGTTGTAACACAAGAAATTAGAATATATAATTTTTCCATATATTAGTCTAAATTAAGAATAAAATTGCGAAAACAAGTTTATTAAATTATAATAACAGTTTTGCGTTCACAGTAACATGTTGATTATACAATTTATTTTGCGTATTAAATGGAATTTAAGCTAAATGAAATCATTTAAAAGAAAATCCTGCACCTGTACACATAATATATAGTGCCCGAGAAACTATTTGAGTCAAAAGCGGCATAATGAGGGAAAAGTTTGAGCATGTTCACTTTTGTGCGCTCAATCGCGTTGATTTGTGCGATCAATATTCCCAGCCTCCCGCCCTTTTCGGTGCCTGAAAATCAACTACATCAACGCAATCGAATACATTTTGCAAGATGTTTGCCGGTCAATATACGTTCGTACGCTTTTTAACACGTTCAGTACCACCGACCCGAACTTTACCACGTGTTGTTAAGTTATATTTCGCTTAAGTTTGTTCTTACATCTTTTCGCTTAAGCTTTTGAAAATTGTTATACAACTGAAAACGTTTGCGTTTTAATTGCATTTTTATTTATATTTCTTAAGATCTGTTTTTATTTATTTGTGATTGCGATTAAATGTAATTAGTGGCAATATTTTAGTAATTTCGCAGTAATATTTTTATAATTAAACTTTGGGTGCTTTCAAGTGCTGTTCAAGACTACTTCCTAGTGTAATTTGTTCCATGTATTAACGCTCCGTGTGGCGCAGTTACCAAGTTATTGACTTCGGCACCGGGGATTGTTGGTTCAATTCCCAAACGAGACAACTATTTCTGTGGCCCACAGATAATTGTTTCGGATCTGGGTTTGTCCGCGTGAAATTTATCTATGTAGAAACGTCCTTACAACACAGGATGATATGATATACCACAGTAAGGGGGCAATGTTTTCGAAGGGAAGACTATAATATTTCTTTCTAGGCAGCAGTGGTCGTAAAGACTTACTACCCAACCCCTTTGCACAAAATACAAATGTAACGGTATCAACGCATCACGATTGATGTTGCAGCACTCTTTCCAACTGGGTGTTGGAGTTCGAGAAGTGGGCCCCCACTGTGACCGTGGTGTCGTACAAGGGCTCGCCGCAATCGCGCCGCCTCGTGCAGACCCAGATGCGATCGACCAAGTTCAACGTTCTACTCACCACATACGAGTACGTCATAAAGGACAAGGGCGTCCTCGCCAAGGTGAGTTGCAACAATTATGGACGCATTATGGCCGGGAAGTACCGCGCCCTCGAGTAACCGACTTACAGTGGATGTATCTATAGTAATAGGTGACCCGCATGCCCGTTTGCCTCCTAATCCCATAAAAAAAAAAGTTATGTTTCGACCCGTCTTTGGACGTTCCGCCGTCTTAAATTGATCACACGCTCTAGGAATTGAAAGCGCATACAACCTTTCTGATATCATTGACAGCCCTAAGGCCCTTGTCCTGGTTTGTCATCTTCTCTTTTAAAAAAAAGTGCTTCATCGAGGCGGCTTTTACAAACTTCCTGTTTATTTTATTTCCTTTTCTTTAAATTTTTTGATATCAAAATTGTTTAAGCCACTCTGTCGTTTATCATTGATATGTAAAGCGAGTCTTATTTCAGCCTAGTAGGTTGTTTTGAGTATATTAATTATTTTGATCTGCCTAAAATAGTTTTGGATTTTTTTACTTTTGTGCAGGTGCAATGGAAATACATGATTATCGACGAGGGTCACCGAATGAAGAACCACCATTGCAAGCTCACACAAGTGCTGAACACGCACTATGTAGCACCGCATCGTCTCCTTCTTACTGGCACTCCGCTTCAGAACAAACTACCCGAGCTCTGGGCCTTGCTGAACTTCCTGCTGCCATCAATTTTCAAGAGTTGTTCCACATTCGAGCAATGGTTCAATGCTCCCTTCGCTACAACTGGTGAAAAGGTGACTACCCTCACAGGGTTTCTTATTAAATTTATCGTAAGATTAATATGTGTTAATGGTCTTTGCCATTGTCCTTTAGGTGGAATTGAATGAAGAGGAAACAATTTTGATCATCCGTCGTTTGCATAAAGTATTGCGGCCTTTCCTACTGAGGCGTCTTAAGAAAGAAGTGGAGAGTCAGTTGCCTGATAAGGTCGAATACATCATCAAGTGCGACATGAGTGGACTGCAACGGGTATTATACAAGTATGTATAGAAAGTATTACGTATAAACTTGACTTGAAGGGCAATATCGAATTTTATTACACACTCACACAAATAATGAGTATATTTTTTTATCATATATAGAGGAAGTTGTTCCGATTTATTTTACTTCTCAAGTTCGAATTAAAAATTATAATGTCCCAGCGTATGGCGCACAAAACTGAATTGCGGCTTTTAATTCTGTCCAAGTCAGTACACAATTTGATTATTTGTCGAAAAGACTGGAAACGTGGTTCCAGAGGTGAGAGTTTTGCCTTCAAGTTTCCGCTCGAGTCAATCACTTTCAATCTTGCCATACGACGACATATGGTTTCGAACCTTTCAGTTTTAACGATAGCGAACACGACTCTTCCACATGACACGCAGTATTCACACCGAGCCAAATTGACTCGCGTGTAATGAATATGCGCGGCCTGTATCCTTACCTAACCTACACACGTTTCCAGACACATGCAGTCGAAGGGCGTGTTGCTGACGGACGGATCCGAAAAAGGCAACAAGGGTAAGGGTGGTGCTAAAGCCCTGATGAACACCATCGTGCAACTGAGGAAGCTCTGCAACCATCCGTTCATGTTCCCCCACATAGAAGAGAAGTTCTGCGACCATATCGGCACCGGGGGCGCTGTACTTACAGGGTAACTTGGAAATACCAATCATTTTCCATGTGTACAACCAGTATCTAAAGTATGGTGGTGGAAAATTCCTTTGTGATTTCATTTACTGTTTTCTTTTGCAGACCCGATCTGTATAGAGTGTCGGGTAAATTTGAACTTTTGGACCGCATACTGCCGAAGCTGAAGAAAACCGGCCATAGAGTCTTGGTGTTCTGTCAAATGACTCAATGCATGACCATAATTGAGGATTATCTTTCGTGGAGAGGTTTCCAGTACTTGAGGTGATTTTTTTATAACTGTATATTAAAATGTATTATTTGAGGATTTTAATGTGGCTATAATTTATTTCTCATTAAGAAATGAAACAACTGAGTTCTGATTATAGGGTTTCAGTTTTCTAGAACTGTGTTTGTGGTTGTTGGATCAGAAAGCTTCTTGCTACTGCTCTTGTCCGATTGAGACTTTGTTACAACTTTTAAAAAAATACCGTTCGACTACTGCAATAACAACGGATTGTGAAATGGAACGTCACTCAAAAATTACACATTATATAAAACTGATCCGAAATAAAAGTTTATCAATAAGCCGTACAAATAGTTGACCATTGCGACAATCGAACCCGACACGCAAGCAGACATCTTCAAGCCCGAGACAGTAAACAAAATCGCTTCTTCTAAAATGATACTAAGCTAAATAAATGGATTCATTGTATTGTCAAATTCGTTTCGGGCATTAGATTGGACGGCATGACGAAAGCGGAGGACCGTGGGGAGTTGCTGAAGAAGTTCAATGACGCCAACTCGGAGTTCTTCATATTCCTGCTGTCGACCCGCGCCGGTGGCTTGGGCCTCAATCTGCAGAGCGCCGACACCGTCATTATATTCGACTCCGACTGGAATCCTCATCAGGTGCTCTCTCTATCTCCCATTCTCAATTTTCAACCTTTCATAAGCATTCATATTCTAAAATCTGCTTATTTTCATTTTCTTTTATCGAAACTATTATCATATCAATGCAATTAAACCACTATACCAAAAATTCTTTACGTTACAATATATTTTACCTTATACGTTTTCATTATATGTTCGCTACAGGACCTTCAAGCACAGGATCGTGCTCATCGTATTGGACAACGCAATGAAGTTCGCGTCTTGCGCTTAATGACTGTCAATTCCGTGGAGGAAAGAATTCTCGCAGCCGCTAGGTAACATTATTTATTGCGACTCATTTTACTGTACTAGTATAAGTATAATTGAACTTTGCCTAATTGCGCTTTATTTTGTGTGTTCAAAATTCAAATTCATTCGCTCGTTTCAAGTATTTTGTGTACAAAAACGTTAAATGCATACATTATTTTGCTCATGACACACACTTGCATATTTTAATGGACATTTATTTTAATAGATATAACTGTTATTATTAAACTATGAAGAACTTAATGATACTTCACTTTTTCTCGAAATATTGGGACATTACCTTTTTTTAGTTACTAGTTACTTGTAGATATTCAAATTAAGCCCACACATATTTAATTTTTTACGTATAGGATTTATTTTACTTTTTTAGATACAAGCTTAATATGGACGAGAAGGTCATCCAAGCCGGTATGTTTGACCAAAAGTCTACGGGTTCAGAGCGACAGCAATTCTTGCAGAGTATTTTACATCAAGACGGCGATGACGAAGAGGTGGGAATTGTGTTGAAAATATACCGTGACGATTATAGTATATCAACATGAATAATAGAACTTCAATGTTGTTTAAAGTTTAATTCGCTTTTGGACCTATTCTCAAGGGTGAAATCCTTATTCGCATCTAACACCTCGCCAAATAATATGTTTTCCTACTTATTTGATACGTGCAAGTCTGAAAGGCCTCGGTATTCAGGATGTGTCATTATATCTGTTATTTCAGCTTTGTAGGAAACTAACTAACAAAAGTACTTTGTTAGTTTTTAAATACATACATATTACATCAAGACTGCCGTTTCTGCCACAACTGACTGTGTAGAATAAGTAAATCTATTATGAGACAATGTTTATGTTTCTACAACAAAATCTCATAAAACATTCAAAATATATACGTTGCGAAATTTAAAAAGTTTGTGTCAAGTGAACTATACTAAATATTGTATACACATTTCATTGTCAAATAATGGTATAAAAAAGGCCCGCTGAAAGAGAGAGAGAGAGCTTTAAAAGAAGATTATTCTCGAGAAAAGCCACTGTTTCTTTTCCGAACCTGTAGTAGCATTTTAACAATCAATAATTGAGAATATAAGATATAAACTAGAATAACTTAAAAGTACTTCAACTCTATTTGAATTTGTGCCTCTAGGAAGAAAACGAGGTGCCCGACGACGACCTGATAAACGAGATGATCGCCCGCTCCGAAGAGGAGCTGGAGATATTCAAGCAGACCGACATTGAGCGCAAAAAGACGGAGACTCAGTCGCGCCTCATCGACGAGTCTGAACTGCCGGACTGGCTGGTCAAGGACGACGATGAGGTCGTCTGCAATAAGGTGGGCGATCTTTTTCTTATCCATCGCCGTCCGCGAAAACTAAGGACATCTTTTTGTGCTGTTATTCTAAAGTTTCATATAAATTACATGTTTTATTAAAATTTGTAGAAAAAGTACGAAAAGATTGTCGCCGCTGTGGGAATCGAACCCACGTCGTCGGAATCGCGGCCTGACGCTTTAGCCACTAAGCTAAACGGCTGATTGCCACACTGATGAAAGTCTTACCGTCTTTTATCTACATTGTTTTTTTGGCATTTGAAGCAATGCTTAGCGCATCCATTGTTATACAGCGTGTCGTTACCATCGCGACAATAAATGAACACACGTCTAACCCTACTTGCCAATAATCATAAAAAAATATTAACGTTCAACAAAATCCGTAATGAAAAAAAAATATTTTTCAAACAAACTAATTAAGTAAAAAAGAAACAAAATTTGTAACATCCTATACAACTCGCGCCACAGCGTCGTATTACAAGCCTCTCCTTTTAACAGTATGTTTTGTCTCTTTTAAATTCATTCAACCCATTCATATGCTTTGTGACCTTTACAAATGAACTTTACGTTACAGTTTTACGCGTAAGGGTGTTCTAAAATTCTTTGTTTTGGAAAATTTAATAACTGTAAATGTTGATGTTTAAAGTTTAAATGTTTAATACAACTTTAAAAAGTTATCCCCTATATATGTGTTCATTTATTGTCGCGATGGTAACGACACGCTGTATACTTTCCTTATTCATGATTTTTTAAACTATGATTACAATATTGTCGAAAGCAAGTAGGAATAAACTTTTGCGGGGATTCCCCACCAACAATTGTATCATCAGGCAATGGAGGGGTAGCCAAGCAGTAGCCATTTCGTGATTTAAAAAAAAGTTCAATTAACTTGTTTATCTTAATAAGTTTATTAATAAGATCATAAGGATCTTAAGAAATATAATTGATGAGTAAATTTTAGTAAATGTATGTAAGGTGTAATTAGTCTTTATATGAAGAAACCAAAGCAGTCATTCTCTTTTATTTATACCTTGCTATATTTATTCTAATAGATTTATATTCGTTTTCTGCGTTCTTAAATAACTAATAATAAATGTTTCAAATACTTGATTAAGCAATGATTATTCATGCATATTACAGTATAGGTCCATTCATAATCATTATATACTAACCAGAGACCTTAGATCCTTCCATAACTTTTGAGAATTATAACTAGTAATCAATTTGTTGGTTAATAAAATTCTTTATGAAATGTAACTTTTAACAGGGCCAAGGCTGGAACTACCTGGACGAAGATGAGACACTGGGGCGCGGATCAAGACAACGCAAAGAAGTGGATTACACTGACTCACTCACCGAGAAGGAGTGGCTGAAGGCCATTGATGAGGAGTTTGAAGAAGAAGAGGAGGAAGAAGACGACGATGATGAAGTGCTGGACAAGAAGGCTCGCAAGAAAGGGCGCAAGCGGCGGTAAGCACAGTAATTTTATCTTTTGAAAAATTAAACCTTTTTCTTATGTTACAGTTAATAACATCTTTATGTATAAAGGCAGATCCATCTATATCTCCAATATTCAGTCAATTATTATTATTTATGTAAAATTATGCTTCTTTTTTACTCTCTTTAAAACCCAGCCACAGAGCATGGGGTACTAAACATATTTTCTTTGTTACGTGAAGCCAGCAAAGTTGATCCTGAGATTTCCCTTAAATAAGCCTATTTAAATTACAAAACAGGAATATGTATTATGTAGTTTCTTACATGTTCCAGTCGTCAAGATGATTCTGACGAAGAAGATGTGCCAAGTTCATCAAAGAAAAGGAGCAAAACAGAAATTAATCAAATGAAAAACCGTCTTAAGAACATCATGAAGAAAGTGGTGGATTACACTGATGAGTAAGAATATTACTTACCTGATGTGATTTTTTCAACATGAGTCAAATATGAGATTTCCTTTTAATATATAAATCATTTAATTCCCATATATTGTACTCAGTGCTGGTCGAGTGTTGTCCGAGCCATTCATGAAACTGCCATCAAGACGCGAGCTACCCGATTACTACGATGTTATCAAAAAACCATTAGACATCAAAAAGATCATGAACAGAATTGAAGATGGCAAGGCAAGGATAAGTTTATTTCTTGATAATATAAAACAACAAATAATTGTAATTTTTTACTTTATGTCTATATGATCCCCATACATAGGAGTACACCCTAGTTCAGAGGAAAAAGCAAAAATATAAAGAATCTCAAATATTCTCGAAAGATTGCTGCCGATCCTAACAGAATGTTACGTTATCAGGATATTTACCACAAAACACATGAATATCGTCACTAAAAATTGTATTACATACAGACTTTTGAAAAATGTATTACACTATTATTTCATTGGATTGCCATTTTGCCAATGTTTTTATATAGTTATTCAATCCTAAATTTAATATAAACTATGTAACCCATTTTAAGCTGTAATTTTAATTTTTAATCTGTAATTTTAATGTTTTATAGTCCTCTGCACTTAAGATGAAATATTAAAATTTGTTGAAAAAGAAACGTAATGCTTTTCACCACTGCGGGAATCGAACTCACGTCTTCTAGATTCGCGACCAGACGCTTCAACGTCTAAACTAAACGGCTGATTAATAACAAAATTATTTTATTATTGTTATTTCGTTCTGTGTTATGGGCTTAGTCCTTAGACGTGACACAAATTTGTGTAACCCTCAAATAGTTCTTGAGTATACTTATAATGTGTCCATGATTTCATGTTTGTAAGCCACTTGAGAAAAGGATAATATTGACCTTAAGTTCTTAAGTCCATCTTCCCATCAGTTTTCTCATCACTTATTTAATAAAAACGAAAATTAGCCTAAACTTTGATATGTCCGCTTACAGTATAACGATATTACTGATCTGGAACGAGATTTCTTCACCTTGTGCGCAAATGCACAGACGTATAACGAAGAGGCGTCTCTTATCTACGAAGATTCAGTGCGTCTTCGCAACGTGTTCATAGAAATACGCCGACGTTATGAAAACGGACAAAACTCGGACGATTCTGATGACAACGACAAAGGTAAGGAAGTTATTAGTAATTCGAAATCATGTAACATTATTTGTTCCCGAAGGAGTGTTGATAAAAATGTAAATAAAAATCTTTGAGAAAAATAATTAAAGGAATAAAAAGGGGATCCTATTTTGCAAAGGTTTGAATTTTGCCTGAAGAAAAGAATGTTTTAGACTAGAGATGTGCCGATTGCTCGTATTCAGTGTATTCGGCGTTTTTATTCGTATCGTAAAAATAAAATAAACATAATTCAAGATTAAAAATAATTGTTCGTCCCTAAATAATTTAATATATCGCAAAACGTTAGGAACGGAGCCGCCTTCACATCGGGCCGACTCCATAATCTCACTCGGGTAGCAGAATGCCCTAAAGGCATAAACCTCTCATAAGCAATGCTTGCGTATGACTCACAATGTCAGTTTTTTTACGTGGGAAAAATCCTTTATGGATCCCCCTGCCACCGGATCGGGGGAGGGGCAGGGGTATGTGGGTGTTCCAGTCAGAAACGAGTGTCTACTAAAAAACCCACGTTGCACCTGTCTCTGTCGCATCAGCCGGGGACACGGGAACATGAAGACGAAAAAGCAATCTTCCACTTAGGCCTCTTCAGGGGTACAAGGCCACCCAGTCCGGCTAAATGGTGCTGTGCCGGTTCAATTAGCACAGCACCCCTCACGAGCCCCATATACAGCAGCAGACGCCCCCACGCCTGCCACTCGGGGTCTCACTATCAGGGGGAACGATTGCGCGCATAAGCCAGCCTCCTGCGTCCTGGTCCTGGTATGGGCAGTTATCCAGGGTAGCAGTTGCCTCCTTCCGGGTGATTACGTTCACGCAATATACGAGAACAGCATCCGACGACCTCTCGCTGTCAACCATAGCGCGCATCGCGGGAGGCAACGAGAGATCGTGCTCCACGACATAGGCGGCGCTGCTCCAGCCAGGCTGGGCACGCGTTTGGGGCCGTCTCCTCGGCACATACGTCGCGGTGGCATTCCGCCGTGGGCTCCCTCCTCGCCACGCGAAAGAGATACCTTCCGAAACAGCCATGTCCTGAGAGAACGATAGGTGAGGGTGCCATGTCGCCTGTCCAGCCAACTCCTGAGGACAGAATCTATGGCCTCTACGGTTCTTAGGTGCCGGCCTGGTGTGCTCCAGCCTCTGCTCCCACTCCTCGAAGGCGTTTGACCACAGGCGATCCCTGCGCTCCCCCAACTCCTCTGTGGCCGGCATATGGCCCTGGGTTTTGGCATCCTCGTGCCAGGAGTGCAATGACGTGAGGATCTTAAAAATGTCATCATTGATATGGTGGCATTTGACACATCTGGTGGCAACCATCCCTATGTCGAATTCGATTTGCACATGACCAGGTTTTTTTTTGTAATTCTAACGTCCATTCTAGGCGCGACGTGCCCCGTCCCACTGTCTAGTTGACTATTACAATAGAAACTAATAGAAAATACGGGAGCCTTTTATTCCCGCCGGGCGGCGAGGTGACGCACCTGATGACGGTGCGGTGTGACATCTATTATTACATACATTAATACATTACAACTTCTCACATAGCGTTCGTGCCACCGTCCCGTCCCGTCCGCTGTCTGACCAAGCCTTGACTTATATTATCTTCTTTGTGCCTTAACATACATAGTGTTAGCAGACGCAAAGCAAACAACTAGGTCGCCCTGCCCTCGCCTACTTGTACAGCGAGACGAACACAATGCGTACAAAAGCCATTCCCGTGTTCTAAGAGAGCTCATCGAGCCATCGCCCTTAGAAAACAAACAATACAGTTATCAGTCAACTAGGTGGGCCATATGAAGTTCGTAGAATCCGCGTTCGATGAAGATTTATTTAGTCTTCGGACTGAAATGGGAACATTAATCATGTAAAATCCGCCCTATATGAACCTGTCGGACAGAATTATTCGGCCAAATGTGCGGTTTATTTTCGACTGAATATTCGGCCAAATTTTCGTATTTGGTTAAATCCATATTTGGCACCTAGTTTTTTATCTCAAACATTCCATGTATCTTTTTAGTTTATTAAACATTTCATATCAAATATCTTTAAAAAGGTAACATTATTATTATGATTTATTTTGTAGATGATGACTCAGATGGAGAATCAAATCGCTCAGTAAAAATGAAGATTAAATTAAAAGGTAAAAGTAAGAATACTCCTACGAGAAAACGCAAGCCACGCAAGTACATTTCAGATGATGAGGATTATGAAGAGGATTAGATGTTTACGAATATTGAAAGTGAATAGTTTTAAGTACTATTATAATGTTTTGACTTTGAAGGTATTAAGAGATCTTAGTAATTTTCTTAATGTATGATAGACAATAGTGTTATCTGTTATGTAATATTTCTGCCTTTTGAATTTTTTTTAATTTTATCAACATTAACAAATTGGTGTTTAAACTTTTTAAATTAAAAGCATATAAAATTTGCAACTGATAGAAAACATATTTCATCTGGTATGACTTTGAATATCGCTTTTTAATAATTAAAGATATAATATTATTACAGTAGAATAGTTTACTTACAAAATAAGTATAATATTGAATCTGTAGAATCTTAATAAAAATTCTTAAATAATCTGTATTTAATTTATTCCATTTTCTTAATATTTCCTTTATCAGCGACAACAACCAATTCAATATTCTTTGCCTCTTTCCACTTGACATCTGCCCATTTGTAGTTAATCCCATGAACATTATGCATGTGTTTATTCAAACTAGGGCTGTGACTAAATCTTTGACCACAAGTAGAACATGTGTATGGCTTTTCGCGTGAATGCACTCTTTTATGCCTTTGAAGATCACTTGTTGTGTAAAATGACACAGCGCATAATTCACATTTATATGACTTTTCTCCAGCATGCCTAAAACATTTGATTTTTACAATTTTCTAAAAAACCACCAATGAGGAAGGGCTTTTTTAATAAAATATTAACAGATCTCATATAAAACAAAATTTAGATTTATCTATCTTAGCTAGTTCAATTGCTGTATTTAATACATTCAATATTTTCAAACACAAAATTTTGATTAAAATACCATTGTGATTGCTGATTGCAAAAAGAATGGTTAAACTATTTGAATTGATCATCCTGATCATTACGATCATTCTGATCAAATCAGAGAGTTTAATATTTTGTTTATATAAATTAACATATTTGCTAATAGGCTTGCAATATTATGTATATTATTCCAACTAGGAGGGATCAGTTCATGTCAATGTTGGAAATAGTAGTATTATTGGCTAAGTTTTTAAAACCGGCAGCCTTCCTGAAATCAACCCTCTTTAAATTAACTTCTTACATTCGGAAATCTATTCCACAACCACCGACGCCTAAGCCAATAGCTGTTGAGGGTGGTTATGATGGTATGTAGTATTGCAATGTAAATAAAATAATTTTTGTATTCTAAAGAGCGTTTTGTTAAATACAAGTTGTGTTAAATACAGATGTGTTTGGTGCCTAAAGAGAATTATGTATATTTACCTCTTGAGATGAACTACCAAATTTTTCTTAACACATGTTTTATATCCACAAACATGGCACTCAATGTTCTTTTCTAAACTATGCTTTTTCCGGTGATTTAAAAGTTCAGAGGAAGTTACAAATGTACTGCCACAATCTTCGCAGCTGTAGTTATGTATATTATAATGCCTTTGCATGTGTGCCTGATATGACTGTTTAGATTTCAGCAGCTTTTTACATATACTACACGAAAATTTACCATTTTCATGAACATATAAATGAGTCTTCAAGCTAAATGCATGTTTAAATTGTTTACCGCATATAGAACAGGTATAATATGTGGCAGTACTGTGAGTTTTACGGTGTGCAGCTAAGCTAGAAGCCTGTGTGAAACTTTTACCACAATCACATTGATATGGGCGTTCTCCATTATGCCTCCTCATATGATTAATTAAAGTCTGACTATGAGGAGTAGCATATGAACATTTTGTGCAATTGTACAAACGGGTTGCTCCAAATCCTGTTACCTTTCCAACATGCTTTCTTTTCTGATGCATTAATACATTGTGTTTTAATAATGATGGTACACTCTTAAGGCTTTTATTGCAGTCTTTGCACTTTGTTTTTTTATCATCACTAGATTGGCTGGATCCTAAAATATATAGTATATGCTATTATGAATAATACATGCTACATATAATTTTGTAAAAAGTTTTAAGATTACACAGTTTAATATTTAATCTTAATAGGCTATTGTTGTCAATTCATGTAACCCACTATATTTATTTCGTTCATAAGAACTATTTGAGTTTATGGGTTCTTTTTTTCATATCAACTACAATAACAAATATTCAGCAAAGTGCCTAGCTTTATAAATATTTAAAGAGGTAAAGTAGAGTATCAGCTTAAATAAATGTCCCACTTCTAAACAAAGGCCTTCTCTATACAGAGGGTATAGTCCACCTCGCAACTGCACCGCAGTTTGTAATGTAATCTCCATTAATTCATTGTAATCTTCATAAGACTTTTTTATTGTCATAACTCAGAAAATACCCAAGTTTCCTGATGATTCATGATGGCTTCCAGAACATCAGATTACTTAGAGTGAATGTTATTGATTGTTTGTGATTTATTAATGAAGAAAAATGACCAGTGGCAGGAAACAAGTACAGTAGCAAATATAGAATATACAGAAAAATTTTTTTCCGTTTCCGTATTTTATTTGCTGTCTTACTGAAACATTTAATAAATATAAAATATTTATTGATCTAATATTCATAAGATTAAATCTACCTAAAATTACATATTATCTAATAAACCTAATCCATGCAGCATGGTGCCAAAAACGCTAGCTGCATTTCCTCCCTTCTTGCTTAAGCTGCGAGATAATATATATTCTCATAATCGAAAAACTGTAAATTTTACTTAAATATTAGTTACCTGTGTTGTCTATATGATTTATTTCATAATTATCCTGTATGACATCACGTAAATTACTCTCTTGCATATTATCACCATACTTGATATCATTAAGAAGTAATACTTCGCTTTCATAATTATTTTTGTCTAATATAGCGAACTTCTCTTCAGATTTTATAAATTTTTCACGAAAATTCCATGCTACAATTAGTTCGTCAATGCATTGCTTACAAATAAATGATGGTAGGCCTTTTTTACAAACAAGTTTAATATGAAAACACTGAAATATTTTATTGAAAATGTTAATAGATTGTTCGCTTTGTGAAAATAAATCTATCGCATGGGTTCCTTTTTCTAAACATATTCGACATGTAACTGTACAGGTCAGATTATTTGTATCAGCCATTTTGCATTATTATCACATATTAGGACATTTTTGTCCTCATTTCACTTAAATATGCAGCAAAAAATACACAAAAACAACGTAGGTTAGGTCTAGGTTAAACAAAACAAACGTCAAACTACAATCTACATACTCTACAAACTTTAAACTAGAGATGTGTAAGTAATGCCGATGACATCACTCGACTCGAGTAATATTACTTAGCAAAATCATACTGCATTACCCATTACGCGAGTATGGCGAGCATCACTGTTTGTGATGCATTACTTCGCTATTTTACGACGTTACGCACAAAATGTGTGCATTCCCCGCGCAAATATGAATGTCATGTTGTAATACAAAAACAAGCTAATATTGCATGCTATTAAGGTTGAAATTAATTTTTAACAATATTTTCAAATTTGTCTTCGCATAGTTCAAGGTTAATTTCTTTAGGTAAACTGACAATCATTGAATAGATTTTTATTGATATTAGCTTTTGCCATTGGAGACAGTACAGTATAATTAATGAAATAGTCATTTTTTCGCATGAGTCATTTGACATGTTCTTTATGGTCGTTCCCTCACTGCTGAGGATCGTGACTAGAGATGGGCGATACAAATCGTATCAGATATGAAAACTAGATATTAGTACAATATCCCAATATCGCTTACTGGCTCGTTCAATATCTATGTATTTTACAATATCTGATATTTCCGAAATCTGATGTACCGTGCTCGCTCGCTATACCGACACGAATCGCGATACGGCGATATCATACGCGTTTGCCACAATATCTGATTTTTTAACAGATTTCGAGAGACAAAGCGCGTGAGATACAAATACTCACTAGTTAGAGCGGGACGGCAAGCAATGCACGATATCAGATATCGAGCGACAAAGCGCGTGAGATATAAATACTTACTAGTTAGAGTGGGACGGCAAGCAATGCACGATATCAGATTTCGAGCGACAAAGCGCGTGAGATATAAACACTTACTAGTTAGAGTGGGACGGCAAGCAATGCACGATATCAGATTTTTAAACAGATATTATGAATAAGTTAAGTAATTTTGAATCTTAACACCATGCAAATAAGATCCGTTTCATTTAAATACTAATCTTGGTATCAGCGATTACTACAACGATATTATTATATTTTTATTGTTTTGTTTAGCCTTGAGCCGTAACGGGCGACAAAGCGCGCAGTTAAGTAATTTTGAATCTTAACAGCATGGAAAAAAACTCTGTTGCATTTAAATACGAATTACGGTATTAACGATGTCTTTGAAATTTTGTTCAGCCTTGAGCTGGATTGCATTGGTACTTAACACGTAATAGTAAGGGATGCCAACTTACTACTTAAGAATTTTCTGCCTAAATTAAGGAAGAAAAATATACAATGGAAATTTTTTAGGAGGTAAATTTTTTGTGAATATTTTTATTAGCTAAATGTTATTCATATTTTTGGAAAAAAATTAAAGTACACAAAAAGAAAAATATAATTTAATAGTGCTGTGCTGCTTTGGTGGAAATCAGACCAAGGCTTATGTGCCTTGTGTGTATATTTTAAATTCTTCCGCCCTAAGCTATAATACTGAATGTATTATTTCTTACACAAATAATAAAAATATTGCCACTCGATTGCGTGTTCTAAAAATATGTTAAAGTCAATTATTAAGCGGTATATAAGATGTTAAAATAAATCATTTTTATATTACTTCAATTCATATTTTTTATGAAATTTTTAATTTAATAATTTAAAAACACGCATTTTTCGTAAGACAGGGTTAATTATTAATGATCGTCGAACAAGACTTTCGACGAATAAAGTCAGAGAGCTTACGTTCCTAAACGTGAATTTGAACCCGGAGGGATATAAATAATTATTAACCCTGACATAATTGTAAATATATAATGTTAAGTTTTAAATATAAGGAAAATTATGTACATAGAATGAATCAACTTTTAAATACGCCTGCACAATTTTATATTTATAATAAGTATGAAATATTGCAGCCAGTCCTAAGCCTGGAAAAAGTATGAAGGGAAGTTATTTCATTCATCTTATATCCACTCCCTTAAAGTATACAATTTTTTTTTTTTTTTTTTTTTTTTAGAATTCAATTAATGAACATGGATAGGGATCCGTAAAATATCTAGATATTAAAATACATAGTTTCGAAATCTGATATTTGAAATCGATATCGGATTCAGATACGGTACTCAGAAAAAGCGATACGACCCATCCCTAATCGTGACTCATATTCAATTCGGCAAAGAGCTGTCTCCGTCGGTGGAGTGCAGCACTTATGGGGATTTCTAAGTTTTCAGATATTTTATCCGCCCACCTTTTAGAATCCCGGCTCTCTTGCTCTTTTAACCTCTATTTTCCCTATTTGACGTAGGCAAACTTAAAAGAGCGTCAGCAAATATTGAAATATTTAAAAAGTAAGATGAAAATTTTGTTCTTATTGGAAAATCTCTTTCTCTTTCAAATTGATAACAGAATTACTATCGATAGTAATGCATGCGATAGTATTGCAATTATCATTAGTTTTTGACAAAAACTATCGATAGCCTCGACAGGTTTGTACTATCGATAGCCTCGACAGGTTTGTACTATCGATAGCCTCGATAGGTTTGTACTATCGATAGCCTCGATAGGTTTGTACTATCGATAGCTTTGTTTGTACTATCGATAGCCTCGATAGGTTTGTACTATCGATAGCCTCGATAGGTTTGTACTATCGATAGCCTCGATAGGTTTGTACTATCGATAGCCTCGATAGGTTTGTACTATCGATAGCCTCGATAGGTTTGTACTATCGATAGCCTCGATAGGTTTGTACTATCGATAGCCTCGATAGGTTTGTTGCCTCGATAGGTTTACTATCGATAGCCTCGATAGGTTTGTACTATCGATAGCCTCGATAGGTTTTGTACTATCGATAGCCTCGATAGGTTTGTACTATCGATAGCCTCGATAGGTTTGTACTATCGATAGCCTCGATAGGTTTGTACTATCGATAGCCTCCTATCGATAGCCTCGATGTTTGTACTATCGATAGCCTCGATAGGTTTGTACTATCGATAGCCTCGATAGGTTTGTACTATTTTGTACTATCGATAGCCTCGATAGGTTTGTACTATCGATAGCCTCGATAGGTTTGTACTATCGATAGCCTCGATAGGTTTGTACTATCGATAGCCTCGATAGGTTTGTACTATCGATAGCCAGTTAAAGGCTATTGGTAGTACAAAATCATCGAGTTTTATCAAAAACTGAGTGAAATACTTAGATATGTGAAGGTAATTTGCTTGTTTTCTTTCTCAATTAGCGAAGTAAGTTTTGTTGTTGATCTAAAGCTTCATTTTTCGTTGCATAAATAACATTTAGCTTTTTTATCAGTACCGTTTTTCAACGCTATCTGTACCGCACTACACACACTTTCATTGTTCATGCAATTCAACTACGGTATGAACTTTAAGACGGATAAGCTTCGCCTTACGAACGACAGCTTTAACAATGGATTATTAGTCTATATTTCATTGATCTAACAGTCATGTCGTCATGCACTCGGCTACGTTGTTTGCTATTGAGTTATATATAATTTTATTTTGTTAATAACACCTTCGGAGTAAATCTTACAAGAACACGAAAATGAAAATTATATGTGCATACTTCGAATTTATAAATTAGTAATTGAAGTAGTGTTTAATCAAATTTTCGAAATAAAGCCTTAGCATGTGGAGCTTTACATGCTCTTTGCGGTTTATTTTTATATATACATTAAATATTAGAACAAATAGAGATTGCTACAAATTAGATGTTAAAATAGGTAAACATGAATACTAATATTTATTTACATTTAAAAACTATTTGTAGGGTGAAAGGGTCGTGAAAAATTTATAAAATGTGAATAAACTTCCTTTCCCTATAATAAGTGAATGAAAGAAAAAATGAAGAAAATGACTTTTAATATTTTAACAGTCATTAAGCTTCTGCCTGAGCCTGCAGTTTCTTTATAAAGGACTCCTTCTTCTGCTTGATCCTGTTCTTCCTCTCTGCAAGAGTCAATTTGCGTTTGTTCCATCTCTTTTGCTTGACAATATCTTTCTTAGCTTCCTTCTTCTTATGAGATGGATCAGCACGAATTGCCTCATGTGCTTTTTTGTAGATAGTTTCAATCTGTAAACAAGGCAAAATTAATAATAATGTAAATAATTAATAGTTACATTTCTTATCATAGAGAAAACTTTAAGATGACTTCTTATACATCTAATTTTATTGGTACAGAAAATTAGGGATAGTCTTAATTGCATTATTAATAACTTAACAGTAATTGTATAAATAATTCACAAGATACTCAGATGAGAAAGACAGACTCGGTGCATAAATTGCATAAATTTCAGTTACAATTATTTTAATGTTGCAATAATAAATAACTCTCCAGAATCTACTCGGAGATATAATATATAGAATGCTATTTTCTTTTGTCCAACTTCGGACACTGCTCCTGAAGTAAACAGGATACAGTAATTTGGTTGGACGTTTGTTTGTACAAAACATTTACATAACATTTTAACTTACTGCATCGGCATTGACACCAAGTTTGATGTATTTGCCAAATTGCCTCTTGAATGAATCTTCATCTTCCTGTTCAAGATTACGCATATATTCAGCAACATGTAAACCAAATATATGTGCCCTGAATAAAAAAATTAGATTTAATTATTTAATCACTTCAAAACTTCTTACAATATTCCAAATCCCAGCAAGGACTTATTTAATAACAATTTCTAATAAGCAAATGTACAAAATTTTTTGAATATTTTTTAATTGTATACAAGGCCGGTTCAAAGGATACAAAAATATTATTTTGACAACCAAAAACCCTGTTACTTTTGTAGCTCCAATTGGGCTGTTCGATAAATAGGTATTCTATAAATCGATGGATGTAAGGAGCAACAAATTCACTAATTCTAAAGGCCCATTTACACGGTGCCAGTTTCTTGCCTGTTGTATACAATTAAATTGAAGCAATAAATGAGTTGCATGGTCTAAACAACAAATGGTCTTAACAATTATTGCGCGCAATTTATTGCATTCAATTATTGCTCTTGTATGTACAAGAAAATGGCATCGTGTAAATGGGCCTTAAGTCTACAAAATGTACCTGTGCACTTCAGCATTGAACTTTTTAGATTCTGCATCATATCCGGGGAATCTTTTAATGGAATGTGGGACATTAAGACCACCATCCACAGCCCCTTTCATTGCTCCAAATACGCGAGCTCCTGTGGTGGTACGTGCAAGGCCCACATCTAAGTAACACCTGAAAGTTTAAAATAACAAAAATGTATACATAAAAAAGTTAATTTACTGTAAGTCTGCCTGTGGAATCGTCAGGGCGACAAAGCGTCGACACAAAAAAAATGGAAAAAATAGTCAGAATTTGAAAGTGAAACAAAAACTGAAAATTGACTTCAAATTTAGTTATTCTTATATGGAGTTTCAATGATGCTAATGTCAAAACTTAATACGAAACAAAAATTAGTAAAAACCACCTTAGAAGTGCAAATCGGACTCGCGCATGAAGCTTTCCATATCATTATAAAAATGGCAAAAGAATCTGTTGTTGTAGCCCCACTGAAATATTTTTTTATTCTATTTTGTAGTATTTGTAGTTAAACAGTCAACAGAAATACATCTGTGAAAATTTCAACTATCTGACTATAAAGGTTCATGAGATAAAGTCTAGTGACATACAGACAGACAGTCTTAGTTACAGGGTCCCGTTTTACCCTTTAGGTATGGAACCCAACCATGGACAAGTTAATCGCCGCTACGTGAAGCGAACCCATCCACATCAAATCGGGGCTGAAAGCTTTAAATAATGAAACTAGTGGCTAAAGCGGCAGGCCGCGAATGCCGAAGACGTGGGTTCGATTCCCACAGCGGCGACAATCTTTTTGTACTTTTTCTACATATTTTAATGTTCAATGTTATGTGCAGAGATTAGCACTATAAAAACTTAAATTTAAAAAAAAAGCAATGGCGACATCATCTCTCGTTCGAATTATCGTTGTAAAACGATATTCGAAATTGTTTGTATGCTGGAAAGGATATAACAATTGATGCGCCAATCATTGCTTCAAATGTTCAATGTTATGTGCAGAAAAAAAAAAACTTAATTTAAAAAAAAAGCAATGTAGATAAAAGACGTTAAGATTTCAATTGATGCGTCGGCTTCAAATGCTAAAAAAAAAAACAATGTAGATAAAAGACGTTAAGATTTCCGTCGGTGTGGCAATCAGCCGTTTAAAGTGGCTAAAGCGTAAGGCCGCGAATGCCGAAGACGTGGGTTCGATTCCCACAGCGGCGACAATCTTTTCGTACTTTTTCTACATATTTTAATGTTCGATTTTAAGTGCAGAGATTAGCACTATAAAAATTTAAATTTCTAGCTTTAATCAAATTAAAAAAAAAAGCGAAGTGGCTGAAAAGCGAAATTCAAGAGCACACAAACAATTTTAAATATACTTTTACCACGATTATGGAAGTCTTGAGTTCGATTCCAGCATCGGCGACAAACTCATTAATTTTCTCTACAAAATTGAAAATATTGACAATGTACAATTTTGATATGTATTATCAAAGTATCTCACCTAAAAGCACCTGGTCCATCATCCACAGGTTCTACATTGTACTCGTCACCAGTAATTTCAGTAGCCCCGGTGTATAGGGAGTCAAGCCCCAATTTTTGTAGCAAACGTCTGGCCAGCAACAATCCAGTACAATATGCAGCAGCATAATTAGTAAGGCCTACCTAAAAAAACCTGATTTTTTAATAAATCCTAATGGAAATAAAAGCAGCAAATATTCTTTACTACATTCAGTATTGAACATATAGCAACAGGGTTTTATGCATTTGTACAGTTGCTTCAGACCGCCCGTTCAAAATCATCATTAATGTCAGAATTTAAACAAAATTTGGTATTTTAAAATACATTTGTCAGTAAAAAAATCAACTTGAATGTTATACATGAAATTGAATGTCTTTAAAATAGTAACACAGTCCTGAACTATAATTTTCTTAATGATTTATTACAGCTGTATTTTGGATTCTAAATAATGTAAATAAATATTGTCTTTTCCAAGGGCAAGAACTTGAAGCAATACACTTTTATTGACCACCACAAATGAGAGTTTACATAAAAGTGACAAAGGAACAACAAATTTATGCAATGTCCAATCTGGTGGCCTTATCGCTTCAATATATAGCGATCTCTCCCAGGCAAACAATGGCGTAATGAAAACTTATACTACCAAGGTGATGCAATAGGAATATCTTTTTTTTTCTTTTCTTAAACATTGCCCTTACTTTAGGATAACATAATCCTGTGTTGTAAGGATGTTTTACAAACATAAATTTCACGTGGACAAACACTCAGATACGAAACAACTACCTGTGAGTCACATAAATAGTTGTCCCGTGTGGAAATCGAACACACGACCCCCGACGCCGAAGCCAATACTTTGACAACTACGCCACGGGTCATCATCTCGCTCAATATACAGCGTGTTTTGTTTAACATCGCGACAATAAATGAACACACGTCTAACGCTATTTGCCAATAATCAGAAAAAAATATTAACGTTATACAAAATCCATAATTAAAAAAAAATATTTTTCAAACAAACTAATTAAGTAAAAAAGAAACAAAATTTGTAACATCCTATAAAACGCATTACAAGCCTCTCCTAACAGTATGTTTTGTCTCTTTTAAATTCATTCAACCCATTCATATACTTTGTGTCCTTTACAAATGAACTTTACGTTATAGTTTTACACATAAGGGTGTTCTAAAATTGTGTGTTTTGGAAAATTTAATAACTCAGTAAATATTGATGTTTAAAGAATGCAAATGTTTAATACAATTAAAATGTTTAATACAATTTTAAAAAGTTATCCTCTATATGTGTGTTCATTTATTGTCGCCGCTGTATATATAGGTCAGACCTAACCCTACCAGTTAGTATTACCAGCTATATTATTAGATAAAACATTGCTTCAATTATTTGAAAACATTTATTAAAGAAAGGGCTCACAGTTACTCTATCGAACAAGGCTAGAGTCAGCGAAAACACTATTAATATGTCATTCTATTTTAAAGCTCAAAATCACAGCAACACATTATCAAGATAATATTCCGAATGCAAGCATAACACACTACAAGATTTTTCTAATGAATTTACATGAAGTATGTATTAAAAACAGAATCTTAGTATGTAAATTATAATAAGTATAACTCACCTTAACACCATATTGAGGAAGTTCGTGCGAGTAAGCAGCACAGACAATATGGTCACCTTCAATTCGTGAATAGGCAATTTGGCAAGTTACATCTTTATTGGAGAGACGAACAATGAGCCGGTACTTAGGGGTGTTGTATTTGTTCTTATCCTAAAAAAATATTATACATGGGTACAATTTTGATTTATAAAATTATCGAGAGATATTATATTGTGTGAATTGTTTAATGACAGGACAAAATAAACAAACTGAGCTTTTAGTAGTTTAGTTTTTAGTTAGAAATTTAACATAATTAGTAATGTCATAGATTTAAGGGTTTAAGATAACCCCTATTCATTTTAGATATGCGAATAAAAATACAGTCGGATTATCAGTTCATTATAAACCGCAACGATACTATGAAAACGTACCTGAACAATTAAGCGTTTACGGGCGTAATAGTCGGTTTTTCCTTCACGACGCCTCTTGAATTTCACTTGGTACCTTTTAAAATACTGCTTGTTTTTGACTACTTTAACAAACCCCTGAAAAGAAATTTTACATGAAAAAACTATTTTCTAACTGTTAATAGTTCATATCGAAGCGTAAATCCAATTAATCAGAGACACTTAAAAATCATTAAGGCCTTAGTTGAATACAAATCAACAGTGGCGGACACATAAAACATGGTACACCACGTTAATTTTGCATCTTCCAAGACGTCAGATGACGCGCATGTGTCGGTATATCATCATATAGTGTATTTAATTTATATACTAGGAAAATATATTAAAAGCTTGTTAAAGTTAAAAAATAAATATTTGCCAAAGAGACGGAGAATGTAATTTGAACGCCTCACGACAGCTTCGTCTCAGAATTTTTCACATAACCTATCCATAAATTTACCCACAATCAGTAATTTAAAACTATAAACTCTCTCAATAAAAGAATACCATTCATATAACAAACTCTGGTGTAATTATATTTCAAAATTTTTGCTCACCATTTTAATAAAATTTAAGAATTGCTAACGACTCGGTTACCCAACGAAGGAGATAACCGGAAAAGAGGTGTACAGCCCAGCTATTACAGATCGTATTATTTATTAAAACTAGTGTTGCCGTTTTCAAAATAAAAATAGTGTACTTACACATAATATTATGGAAAAACATTAATAAACAATATTTTTAATAATATTTATTAAAATATTATGTAAAAAAACAGTGTGTGTGTGTGTAAACTACACAAACTTTTTATACGTACGCATGTAAGAAAAGTTATTGATTAATTACCTTTTAGTATTAAAAGAATTAAGAAACTACCACTAAAGAAAATAAACACTACACAAAAAATTGAAGAGAAACAATTAGAAAAACCGGCCTTGTGTGAGTCGGAATCGGGCACGAAGGGTTCCGTATTATTTTCTATAAAGAGGGCAAAAAAATCATGTCTGCTGCACTTTAATATTATCTATTTTTTATTATTTGTTGTTATATCGGCAACAGAACTACATCATCTGTGAAAATTTCAACTGTCTTACTATCACAGTTCTTGAGATACAGCCTGGTGTCAGACGGACAGATCGACAGCGAAGTCTTAATAATATGGTCCCGTTTCACCCTTTGGGTACGGAACCCTAAAAACTTAGATTTTGAAATATTTCTTTAAATGAAATATCAGCTATCTTCTCAATACTCTACTATTTTTTTTCAAAATCAAATGTATTTATTCAACATAGGAGCATTACACTCACTTATTGATAGTCAAAACACTACCACCGGTTCGGAAAAGAAAGCCACTATACTGAGAAGAACCGGCGAAAGAAACTCAGCGGGCTTTTTTTTTTTCAAATAAGCAGTTTGACATAAATTCGTTAAAATACAATATAAGAACTCAGATTGAAAGAGCCTGGAGCGATCAGTTCATTACCAGAGTGTGTTATCATTTAAATAATCATTAATATTATAGTAGCCTTTAACACACAAACGTTCTTTTACTATTTTTTTAAATTTAGCTATTGATGCATTTTGAACGTTTTCTGGAATTTTGCTGTAATAACGTATACATTGTCCCATAAAAGATTTACTTATTTTACGGAGTCTACTTGTGGGTAGGATTAATTTATTTTTGTTCCTAGTATTTATATCATGAACATTATTATGTCTTAAAAATTTATCCTTATTTTTATGGACATACAAAACATTTTCAAAAATGTACTGAGCAGCAACAGTCAATACCTTTATCTCTTTAAACAAGTTTGGGGCCCAGATTGTTAACTGCACGAATAGCTCTCTTTTGTAAGATAAAGATTGTATTAATGTCGGCCGCGTTACCCCAAAGCAGAATGCCATAAGACATTATACTGTGAAAATAACTAAAATATACCAAGCGAGCCGTATCTACATCAGTTAACTGTCTTATTTTTTTGACCGCGAAAGCTGCTGAGCTAAGTCTACTCACCAGTCTATTAATATGGGGGCCCCATTGCAGTTTGGCATCAATAGTTATGCCAAGGAATACAGTTGAATCAATAGGGTCCAACGCTTCCCCATATAAAAGTACATCAGTTTTTACATGTTTAACATTGGAGGAAGTTGTAAATTTAATACATTTAGTTTTTTTATTATTCAACAGTAAATTGTTAGCACTAAACCAATGTACTACAGTAGATAGAGTATTATTTACATCGTCACAACTTAAAGAACGTCGGTTTACTTTAAAGATTAAAGAGGTATCATCCGCAAACAATACTATCTCATGATTATTATTAACAAGATAAGGTAGATCATTTATGTAAATGAGGAAGAGAAAAGGCCCAAGAATAGATCCCTGCGGGATCCCATATTTACCAAGGCCCCGGGAGATCTCTTGCCATTCACGTCAACTCTCTGAATTCGATGGCTCAAGTACGATTTCAGAAGATTGAGTGCGGCATCTCTTATACCATAGTGGCGTAGTTTCCTGACCAAGGTCTCATGCTGTACACAATCGAAAGCTTTGGTTAAGTCACAGAATATTCCTAAGGCATCCTGCGACTTTTCCCAGGCTTCAAAAATATTCATAACGAGCTGAACACCCGCATCAGTTGTTGAGCGACATTACACCGCAATAGCGCATTGTCCGAGCGCTCGCTTTTAATTCAATATACTCGAGCAACATGAGTTCGATCCTGGTTCTCACAGTCCTTATTACCACTTCCGCCACGGGATAGAAAAAACAATGGAAGTAGTTCTCACAGCCCCTAGTATCGGACCCGCTGTTGCCAAACTCATACAAGTAATACATGTGTCGTGTTTTAAACAACAAATGTATCTTAGCTGCTAATGGCGCTGGCTGGTTGAACTGCACAGCGGCAATATCTAGTTTTGGCAAGTTTTATTATATCATCTAGGCCTAGTACTTTACGCAGGGGCTGATGGCTGGTGGCCTTGCGCACTTCGACCAGCGGAATAAATGCGTCACTGCACATGAGTGGACAGACTGGCTGCGAAAAGTGAGAGCGCTGCAGATTGAGTATTGGGCGAGGTTTGCTCCAAAACTTTAATCATAACCCTTTTATCTCGCACTACAGTTCTTCTGTAGCCCAATTAAAATATGTGTTTTCTCGTGGGCAACGTGTGTTGGCCCACAGCCTTTAAAATTGCGGATCCGGTCGTGAAGCCTATAAAGCATGCCCTGATGATGTGTAGTACCTACCACCGTACACACCGCACACAGTTGAATTGAATCCAGTTGAATTTTACCGTTCATTCTACGCGTGGTCTCAACTTATTCTTTTTATCAATGTACACAACGTCCTGTATCGTAGAACAAGTGATCATGGGAGGTTAGCGTTACATCAGGAATTCAAGTTTGATTTTGTCGCTAAAAATTTGAAGATCGATCATCATCATCATCGAAATTCATCGCGAACTTGTCGGAATTACGACAGCGCTGACAACAGGCTACACTTTAACAACTTTGCTCCACTCCTTGTCCGTACTCTGACAAACTTCCGCTGACGTGAGAACTCCTAGAACCGTAAAGAGGCCAAGGGGCGCCTTCAATGCCCGCGTGCCGCACATTTTGGTTAAACAAAGCTACAATTGACAGCATAGGGAAAGAAAAATTGTTTAAATTTATCGCTCTTATTGTTTAAAATGCTTATAAAACGTAGCCGTTTGGTGCACAGTTTTTCTCGGATACGCTAGATTTGCGGATAAGTGAAACGAGAATTGAATTACTTGAACCAACGAAGATAATTGGAACAAGGATTTAATTAAGTAATATAATTACGACAAGAACAAAATTATGACATTCCCAGATACAATGACATCATCTTATCTGTTGAGGCATTAAGTTTTATAAGTTTATTCCTCAACCTTTATTATTTAACATAATAAAAAATAGTCAATCAGTCTATGGTCCGTTATGGCTTCCTCCTATTCATATCCTGAATTATTTTTGGCGGGTTTTATATTTACCTTGCCGTTTCTTTATGAAAAAAGCAATGTTTTTCGATATTATTTAAAATTTTTCCTTTATTATAGTCATGTGTTGATAACGTGTACTGTTTTGCTCCCTGTAGTTTTTTTTTATCCTCGCGATGTAACGAATCTCGTGTAAAATATTGATTATTTTTATTATTTTAAAATTCTTTCTATACGTAGTAAAATATTATATTTCAAATTTCTCAACTTTTTTTTAGCGTCGCATCCCGATTTTGCCGATATGCTTCGCATATTGTAGGTATTGAGTGGGAATTACGCGGACTGCAGCATTGGGATAATGAGCAATGTTATATCGTTATTTCTAATCACCAGAGCTCACTAGATATTTTAGGTAAAGTATTAATAACGAAAAAAAAAACAAGATTAACAGTTCTCTTTTTAATAATATATTTATCATATTTAAGGTATGTTCGAAATGTGGCCGCGAATGAAGCGATGCACAGTAGTTGCCAAGAGGCCTCTAATGTTTACTGGTGCATTCGGTTTTGGAGCTTGGCTATCCGGTCTAGTATTCATCGATCGTCTTAAAACCGATAAAGCTCGTCAACTCATGAGAGAGGCTACAGACAGAGTAATAAGAGAGAAGGTAAATCATATATGCTTATATTTCATTATAAAAAATATATATATTTATAGATGGTTTTAAAGAAAACGATATTTAATTGTTACAATATTATATTTATTTCAGACTAAACTGTGGATATTTCCTGAAGGTGCGAGATATAATAATGGCAATGTGCAGCCATTTAAAAAAGGTGCATTCTATCTTGCAATTGATGCCCAGATTCCTATAATGCCTGTTGTTTTTAGCCAATACTACTTCCTTGACAATGAAACAAAAACTTTTGAACCAGGTAAGATTAATTACAATATATTATATAATTAGGATATAAATATTTCAGCTGCTATTTCTGTGTTAAAGTATGAAATTAGACACTATTTAAACAAACACTGATGTATTATTTTGTGATATCTCCTTATAGGAAAAGTTGTGATTACCACCTTGCCTCCTATACCAACAAAAGGTATGACACATAATGACTTGGAAGCTCTATCAGAAATGGCTCGACAACAAATGATTGAAGTCTTCAATGAAAGCTCTAAAGACTTAGTGAAACAAAATAAAATTGCAATTTAATTTAAGGCATCTATACTTGTTATATTGATAATGACATTTCTTTTATTGTTATTAACATTTCTTTTCTTGTTAATTAATTTTAAGTTAACTTTATTTTAAACATTTAAAAGTAAAGAAATCTCAGTATTTGCCAAATGTACATAATTTGTTACTGAACTTGTACTAATTAATACATTATCTAGTCAATTGTTCTGCATTTAGACTTGCTTGAATAAATTTAGTATTTTGCTTTAATTATAAATTTAGTATTTTGCTTTAATTATACCAAATTTTATGAAACATTACATATGTACACAAATTGTAGAAATAAGATCTAAATTTATTGCTGTTTATATTTGGGCTGTGGCTACAACAATTAATAAATCTGATATTAATTTATTCCATGAAATATTATTTTTGTTGGTATAGGTTTTATTTTAATAAGGTTCAAAATAGTCATGTTAGTAAAAAATTATTAATAGCTTGAAAGAAAAATCTTCATATATGGTTCTAGTCTTCTATATTATGATTTTTACACTATTTTACATTACATTTATTGTAACACAATTACTTTTAAATTAAATAAATCACTTTTACGCAAGAACTACATGAATTTTTATTTCATTAACTCCAACTTTCGCCCCAACCATCATCATTACCTTCTTCATCAGGCTCAAAAATTAATTTACTACTAATATCTTGGATATTATCTGATGTAGCAACACTTAAAACCTTTTGTTTTTCTATTATTGGTGTCATATCAGCAAAAAAGTCGAACTCATCTGCATTTTTTTTACAGTCCACTTTTTGATTCTTGATGTCCAACTCAGTTATATCAACCATGTTCCTTTTTGTTTCTATTGCAGCTTTGTGCAACAATAAAGTACTAGTAGACGGTTCAATTTTTTCAGCAAGCATAACATTGGCATCATCAAATTCATTTTCAACAAGAAGCTTACTGTCACTGGTACTAATATGTTCATCTGAGTGCAAAAACTGTTTATGTTTGGTATTATCCCAATCATCCCATTCTTCTTCCGAATTCATGACAGTATTCTTGCTTGCTTCTACTATGATGTCAATATCATTTGACTCTCCACCCACAGGAGAAGGTCTTTCATTCAAAGTCATTGTCTTTTCATAGGTTAAGATGGCAGTAGCATCAAAAATATTTTCTGAGCAATGGAAGTCACTTAATGTTTTTGTTGAATAAATTTCATCTGTATGAAAATTACTTGGCTCTAAATTGTTTTTTGGCTTAGGTCTACCATCAGTAAAAAACTTTGATCTTTTGCCACCTATTACAGTATCTGCACCTAATATTGGAACTAATTCACTTAAACAAACCAAGGTTGATGCTACTAAATTGTCATCAATATCTTTAATTCCAAGAAGTAACTGAAAACAACAAGATCATTAGATATAACAATATATTAGTTATATAAAAACACCAAAAGTAAAATGAGATATACCTCTGGTAAAATGTGTTGAGAAAGTTCTTCATGAGAAAAAACATGTAAAAATTTTGTGAAATGTTTTAACAATAGCATTCTCACTTGACCATCTCTCACACCAAACAGTTGCAATAGCCTAGGCTTTACATGTTCCTTAAAAATGTTTAAGCTGAAAAACCCAGTCTGCTCTCCATTATGTAATCTTTCTGTAAGACAAGAAATAAGTCACATATTGATTTAATGATTTGTAATTTTATTAATCATTTGTAATTTTGATTTAAAGGCTGGCCTTGTGGTATCAGACTCTTACATTGGTGTAGTGAAAATTGGGTTTAAATGTAAAATTAATTAGGGAGTATAAAAAGATAACTATTTCACAAGATGATCTGATTAAAGTTAGAAATGAAAAATAAATATGTATGAGGAAATATATAACAACAAGAAATGAATTGCAGGTAATAAAGATGCCTACATTTTTAAAATACATACCATTTTTGGGTTTTAAAATATATGGAATGACATCTTTTCTTGCAGTAGAATCTAGGAGTGTTAGCCTTGATAGAAGCAACCCGCTAAATTGCTTGGCTACAGTTTCTTCATCATAGCGTTTAAGATTTGTTAGAATATTGCTAAAAAACTGACACTTATCCTCCTCCTTCTTCAGAGGCAAGAAATTTAAAAACTTATAAATGGTGATGAATTCATGATTAAAAAAATTATGTTTTAGAATTTCAGATAGAATTGGCCGGTTTGTAGGATCATTATTTTGAAGAAAATTTTTACAATATTTTCTGAATTCTTGTAAATATGGTACGTCATCTAAAACAAACATTTTTTTATTGTTTCTATATATAATGAACAAAACTGATATGAGAGTTAGGTCACAAATTACCATCTTTGCAATCTTTGAAAACATCTTCCACTAGTACAGCAAATCCATATTGATCAACCTTTGAAGTATGTTCATGAGACTCTTCATCTGGATCAACAGCTTTATCATATCTATAAATTTTTATACATGATAATAATAAAAATTAAATAGCTGAACCATTTGATCCAGTCAAAACACTTGACTTATACCTGTGAATTCTAGCATGTTTCAGGTAAGTGGGATTTAGGTCAGAAAATTTACATAAATATTGCAATCCTCCAAGTTTCCACTGGCTATCACCAGAGACATATATTGAAGATACACTGACATTATTATGGGATACACCAGCCTAAAATATAATAATGAAATAAAACATTCATTATATGCAATTAGTCCAATCTATTCTCTAATCAGGAAACAAAACATTTTTTATTTGTTTTCCTTCAATACATACAAACTCCTTAACTAATTTTTTGTTGTCATTTTTTTAGCACAATTCAATATAATTAAAAATAACTTACTTGTTCATGAAGAAATACTAATGCTCTTAAAATATTATTTAATCCAATACAAATTTGAAGAGGTGTTTGAGCAGCTAGCATATGTGACAAAGGTTGAACATATTCTGTGACCAAATGAAAAGTAGACCTTTGCTGCCAGGAAGACAAATATCTAACTATACATGGATGTCGAAACTTTAAAAGATTCTGTAAAAATTATATAGATGACCATTAGATTAATATTTTATAATTAAGTATAAATCAAAATAAGCAACATACATTTGAACATTTTGCTAAAGGTGTTCCTGTTGCCCAAAGTGGACCTAAAACCACTTCTCCTTTAAATACCGACACTGATCCATCATTCTTTAGACTAAAATACCGGCAACTGTCATTTATAGTAGCCTGATAGTGAGACCACAAGTCAGTAATTTCAATTGCCTTATCATCAATTTTTAGACCACTTAGCTGCGAGTTTTCATTTCCCATCATAAGCTTTCTTTTTTTGTTTTGCTGTACATTACTATTTCAATACACTTTAAGAATTAATTATAACATTGATTAGTACACGTTACACTCAAAAAAGGCTGTACGACAAATATTTTACATCAATACATAATATTATTATTTTAGAACATGAGATACTCGTTGATCGTTTGAGAAAGCATTGCACATGAACACCACAGCACTGAGTAGGCTATGCTTTTAAGTTTGAGCTAAATGGTAAATGCTATTCCTTAGAGTTATCTTTACTTTAATTATATTTTAATCATAAAATAAATAAAGTTTTAGTCTTTCATGGTAAAATAAAAGTAAGTATAAAATAAATATACAGATTACAATTATAAAGTTTACAGATTACAGAATATATAAAAAAGTACCTTTGGCCAAAGAGAATGTAATCACTACGTTTCGTATTTGCCTTTGGCAAAGAGCGATTGGGATGCCGAAAAAATTTCGATATTTTGGTCGAAATATTTTGATGCGATATATCGATATAAAAATAGAATATCGAAATCGTAACAAAAACTTTATTTTTATTTAAACTGATTCAAAGCTGTAAAAGATAAAAATGAATGGAAACAAAACTGTGGTCTATTACTAGTATTGTTGCGGATGCGGTGTTACATTTTGTACTATAATTATGGTATTTATACTACAATTTCATGCTTCCTACTTTATACGACATGGTATAGAAGTGTTACAAATCATTAATATTGCACTACATGTTATGCTAATTTATAAATAACAACCAAAATATTAATGGCATCAACTAAAGTTACTTTAATTTTATATGTAAATAAAGTGAACAAAAATTTAATTATAATCAAATTATTAATAATTTAATGTCACATAATATAATATCGAGTTTTCATAAAAAAATATTTGACATCATAAAAATTACTATCATTTAACCACTTATGTAACTTCTTTAATTGTCTTTCACCATTTTTAAGTCAATCAAACAACTGTTACTAAATTCTGATGATCTAACTAAAGCCTGTTTTCTAAGACAAGTCTCTACGGGTTTCTTTTTGGCCCATTATTAACTTTATTTTAAAGAATTGTAAATATTTTTTTACAAATTTAATTAGTTACATTTTGATTCGATTTAGGGCTAAAAAAAACTGATTTATCTTGCAAAATAAGCTGTTTGTTTTTTTTCCAACGAAGGTTTTGATAAATAATATACCTAGAAATTTAGATTAATATAAGAAGTCTGATTAAAAGTAAAAGATAATTAACGTTTTATTTATTAAATTTCTCATTAATTTAAATATTGTGAATTTGGTATAATGATGCATTGAAAAATACATATTGTCATTGTAATGATGTGTTTATAAAGTCCCCATGAATAATTTACTTTCTTCTACTCTCGCTAACGTTAATTCTCCTTCCGAAGCTCCAGGAACACACAAATAGGCAGGACTAGTTATGATTGCAATGATCATGGCCCTTATATTGTGCATGTTCATTAAATACAGTCTGCGGAAGACGACGGCACTAATCTACCGAACACAATAGGATGTGTTCGGTAGGTTTAAAAAAATGCTTTTAAAATTATTGTAAATGGCAGTTTAAAATGTCTCTTCCTTTAAATAATTATTTAGATGCCAACAGCTTTGTCTGTGTGTTTTTATGTGTTTCAATTCTTTGCCTGTACAACTGTATACTTACCCAACTATACAGTGTTATAACTGTTGTCGATTTGGCCACACAAAAACAAAATGCAGATCCAAACCAAGATGCTATAAGTGTGGGCAAGGTCACACTGGTAACAGCTGTAATGTTGAGGAAGATCAGGGCTCTTGCTGCTTATGTTCAGGGCTACATTTTGCGTCAAGCAAAAGATGTCCAGAATATTCTAGGCAAAATGAAATAAAAATTATCATGGCTGAAAACAGCATATTGTAAATGGAAGCATCAAAATACACCCATTAAAAACTAAATCTAACTAAATAATCAAACTAAATAATTAAAAATAAAACTTTTCAGGCAGGCAATACTATTGTACCCGGCTCACCCCCATCACGCATATTATCATACAAAAAAACAGTTTTTACTGAACCACGAACCCCACCTAAACCTAATAAATGTTATGACAGTGAAGCTTATGATTCTCTTGTAAATGATTACGACATGCCCACAATCTCTAATGATTGTGCTTTAGAGGTGAGATGAGTTTAATGTTTACAAACCTCATCCAATGCTGACAAACAGCATTCTGTTTGTCAGCATTGGATAATAGAGGTAATATATAGAATAGAATAATAAAATAGAACTTAACAGACTTAATGGGGTGTCCCATGAGTAAAGAGACAAAACTGAGTGTTGATATCGGCCAAGAAAAAGGTTTTCAAAAAAGAAAATAACTGTTGCCATGGTAACCACCGGTAAAAAATCTGTCAAATTCGCGTGGTTTTGCAACTATTGTCGATGTTTTTCTAACATGAAGCGAACCGAACGAGAATCGTTTGCAAAACGTGTAATTCTGTACTATCTGAATAATGAGAAATCCGAGGCAGTTCGTCATTTTTTTCAAGAAGGGGATATAAGAATAAATATCTACAGGATAGTTAAACGGTATGAAGAATCAGGAGAGACTGATTTTAAGAAGATTCCGGGAAGGCAACGTACCATAGCAACTGATCGAAACATAGATAAGGTTTTGGGAGCCGGCAGGAGGGAATAATTAAGATGCAGTACAAAGAACAAGCCGTGTTGAGAAAACCATCATCTTTTATTGTCACTCGTTGCTATAGTAATTTGTCAATATTAGGGTAATGCTAGACCGATGAGAGTAAGGGTGTAAAGGATAAGAGCGGTGCTACACAGTAGCAAATGAGTCGCCACATCACCCCCCTACGGAGAAAAATAAGTACACATTGAAGGCAAAACAAGTATAAAATGTAACAATCAAATAATTATACACTGTTATTATAAAAGTACAAGCAACATTATTTAGGATAATTTTTAACTAATGGAATTTTAATTTATACAATGAAATAATAAACATTGGAAACTTAAAATTGAAAAAAACTGCTTTAACAAAAATAACGTATTAAAAACTAGTACTTATAAATCTAAAATATCTTTAAATTTAACTTTGCGACCTGACCGGGTTGTTACAGGCTGTGCGGGCGTTTTAATGGGCACGGCCGTTTGGCTAATAGGAGGTGAAAGAGTCGGAAGGACTGGGGGCTCCGGTGCCAAGTTGTTAGGGGACGGATTGCCGTCTGGGTCAGGTGCAATATACGCAGGTTTTGTTCTATCGATGCTAACCTCAGATCTTCGGCCAGAAATGTCTAAGGTAAGTGTCTTTTCAGATCTCTTCAACACTCTGTAGGGGCCTGTATAAGGTGGCTGTAGAGGGCGTCGAACGGAATCTTCGCGGAGGAACACGTGAGTAGCATCAGGTAAGTCCTTGAAAACGAAAGTTTTAGAATTCGTGTGACGTGATGCTGGAACGGGGCGAAGTTCTGCCATCCGTTTTCGCAACTGTGCAACAAAATCATCGTCCACGGTCTGAGGGGAATTGCTAGCCACCAGGGACTCGCCTGGTAGGCGTAGCGGTCCCCATACAAAACTTCTGCAGCTGACGTTTTGATGTCATTTTTTAGTGCCGCCCTGATTCCGAGAAGAACGAAAGGTAGGGCATGGTACCAAGAACTCTTGTGACACATTAAAGCGGCCTTTAAATGGCAGTGGAAACGCTCTATCATCCCATTAGCTTGGGGATGATAGCTCGTAGTACGAACGCGTTTTGTGGCTCCTAAATCCATCAGTCTGTTAAAAGTTGGGACTCAAATTGACGTCCCTGGTCCGTTGTGACAGTGATCGGTACACCAAAGCGAGCGATCCAGCCATGGGTGAATTGATCAGCGACTTCTACTGCGGTTATCGACGACATGGGCCAAACTTCGGGCCAGCGTGAGAAACGGTCTACTGCTGTTAGGCAATAAGTGAATCCGTTTGAAGAAGGCATCGGTCCAATAATGTCCAGGTGAACATGACGGAATCTGTCTGAAGGTGTGCTAATGTTGCCAAGCGGTGAAACGACATGGCGCGTTACCTTGCTGCTCTGGCAGGCGAGACACTCGCGTGCCCAGGAGCGGCAGTCTTTAGCAATGCCTGGCCAAACATAGCGGTCGCTAATGAAGCGCGCGGAAGCGCGTGCGCCGGGGTTGCTGAGACCATGTAGGCGATCGAAGACGGCTCGCCGATATTGTTTTGGCAAAAAGGGTCTAGGTTTGCCTGTTGACACATCACACAAAACGGAAATGTTGGATCCAGGTATGAGGGTTGGCTCTAACTGTAAAGAAGAATGGACCTTTACGGTTTTAAGTTCGTCGTCCGTCTGCTGAGCTTTTGCCAGGGCTGCGAAATCGTCATCGAGCGTGATAGCCTCAATGCGGGACATTGTGTCAGCAACGATGTTGTCTTCCCCCTTCACATGTTTGATATCAGTTGTAAACTGGGAAATAAACGTGAGTTGGTTAAGTTGAGCAGGGGGCAATTTTTCACGGCGTTGGACGAAAGCATAAAGAAGCGGCTTGTGGTCCGTGTAGATTGTCGCGTGTTGTGCCTCTAGTATATGCCGGAAATGCTGTACGGCCGCGTACACTGCGAGAAGTTCGCGGTAATACGCGGGCCATGTACTTTGGCTCTGTGTTAGCTTTTTGCTAAAGAATGCCAACGGCTGCCAGCCTTGATCAGACCTTTGCTGTAAGGCAGCGCCGACATGAGTGCTGGAGGCGTCCGTGTACAACCCTAAACGAGCATTTCGTTGCGGATGTACAAGCATGGTGGCCTCTGAGAGACTGTCGCGACACTCGTAGAAAGCACGCTCCAAGTCTGCTGTCCAGGGCATAGCTTTTGAACCTTTTAGGTTGCTGACTGTTAAAAAATCCACAAGTGGAGCTTGGAGCTTGGCGGCTTTGGGAAGAAATTGGCGGTAATAATTTACCATCCCCAGGAAGCGTCTCAAACCT